GTTCTCTTCTGTCTCATCATTGCCCCCCCGAGTGAGAAATCTAAAAGGCATGCATGAAAGTTCAGCGACACTATCTGCGTTGTTTTTATGCTTTCTACTCAGGTACAAGAAACAGTTACTCCAGCATCAAAGGTCATCAAGCTCCATCTACTGACGGCATGCTGCATGGCCAATACCAATCACATCATACCAAAGAATGCTGCATTGGTGCATGAATAGTTTTGTTGGTTGTCTATTCAGGAGAAACAATGAGGTTTTCTTATTTAAGAGGGGGAAATGGCTGCATCTTTTACGAACGCACAATTGTGTGGGAGTGTCTACATTATCCATCTCTTTGATTTTAAAACATTTACTGAATAAAAACCTACAAAAAAACAACATATTTAACCAACCATATCCCTTTTCTTTAGTATTTATAACATATTTCACATTTTCTTAAGAAACAATCATAAAAAACTGAAATAATCTGGCTTATTCATTGCAAGCTTTATTGTTTTCCCATTCTCCAAAATACTTAAGTCTCAATGTCAATTATTCATCGATTCTCATTTGGACATTCAAAGTAAAAAATAGATTATACATCTCAAAGACAAACGTTTGGTTACTTAACACTTACATTTTAGAGCCGCATGGTACCGACACTGGCATGTTCAGTTCAAAGGTTTGCTGGCGCCATCTACTGATCTCACAGGGCCAATACAATCAAATGCATTTTGGGTACGAGTGGAGAGCCTGTTTATGGTTCAGCCACCACAACACTGACATTGTGGACTCTGAAATGTGTTCATCAAAAGTAAGCACTGATTTAAATCTAACATGAGACTTATGTTTATTACATCCTAATGAATAGGATTTAATGCCTGATCAGAATGTTTAAGTACACACAAATGATATACTGCAAGTGCTGCATGTAGCCTATTTCTGTAACCAACATATTCCTGGCTACTGTACTCATGGTCTTTTATAGTATACAGTTTCACAGGTCACATGTTTTTTTTTTTAATCATTTTTATGTTGAAAAACTCATTTTCTCATATGTGGAGCAGATAATAGAAAACAAGCCAGATTGTCCCAGTTTGACACAGAGATGAAGAGTGTTGATCTACATCCAAGCTCTGGCAAAACCACACCATCAATTAATTACTGAAAACTGAATCATCAAAAACAAAACAAAAAACACCGAAACATGTTTAAATTCGAGGTCATGTTTGTCTTTGGTTCATCAGCTACATTTCCTGCTGTCTTGAGTGAAAAAGAAAACATGCATCATGCACGCCGAGTTGCTCAAAGAGTTACAGAGGTCATCTGCTACCATCTAGTGGCCATGTAAGGCAAATCAAATATAAGGCAAGAAGCACACCATACATTTCAACAACTAATTAACTGCCTAGTATCGCTATTAATATTGTACATATCATGACTCACCAATAATCAAAATACACAAAATGTTGGATCCCTCCACCCAGCCCCACGTTAGACTAATGAGAACATCCAAAAGATATGTCTCTTTTTTTTTTTTGTGAAATTCTTTTACCAATAAATAAAGGCAGGCAGGGTCTAAATAAACTCAAATACCAGCATATCCTCTATCTTCTACCAGTGAGACACAACTATCCCTGCAGCTCTGTCATCACAATAAGTTTCAACATTACACAGTTCATTTTAATTAATCAAAGAAAACGTGCAGAGCCAGTCTGGAGCCCTACTTTCTACATAAAACTTGTGTGCGTGCCTAAGAGTGATAGACCTAGACAATCATCTTACAATCAGACCTATATTCGTGAATTCACACACTACTCTTTACTCCTCACTGTCCACGCTGCTCCACTTTTCTGTTTGAAAAAGGCAAATGTAAAAGTAGCTCAGCCAAAGATACTGATGTATTAATCAGTCTAGTTCTATTTATAGTGAAAAGTGTATTAAACGCATTATATAAATTCATGTTTTGTACAAAAAAATAAAACTTTCATTTTAAACTGGAACAAGCTACATGTCTTGCGGGCTGTGTTTAAAATGATAATACAAATTAGACTAATTTGATGAACAGAACTTGAACTTTCTCAATTATAACAGGATGGCTGTCTTCAAAGGAGAAATGCCAAACTGGATGAGGGGAAGCAGTGTGCGAGTGCAATGTGATTATCGGAGTGAAAGCTCCATGTAATGGTTGTGGTAGAAATTTAAACTTGTCTAGACGAGTTACTGGAGGCTTGCAATAGCCTGATTTATTTCCAGAAATGTGTGTGCCAACACCTGAATATAAATAACAAGGATTAAAAAAAAATAAAAATCATCCAATTAGTACCGTGAATAACTTAAATATACCAAGACAATACGGAAAAAACACCACAAACCGCCGGCAAAAACATAATTAAAGAAAGCAACTTCTTTGACCAAATAGAAGGGTCCATAGGGACTAGTCACGACCAAAAGTTTGGCAAAGACACAATTGTCCCCACCAATATTTCCCCACCAAATTCACGGTAAACGCATTCAACCGGCACAGAATGGGAGCGAGCGAAGGACTTTGAAAGATAGCGGAAAGATTAACGTGAGACAACATCCGGTTTCTTCAGACGAACATCCGGTTTTCAGATTAAGATGCCAACAAAGTATGAATAATATTCACATTAAGTATAAAACATGCTACCTGCATCTCGTGAGTTAAAGGGAAAATACACCTAAATTGTGCGTAAAGCGTCTTTATTCTTTGATCGCTGTGTAACCATAATTACCTCTGAGTTACAGCATTATATTGATGAACAGTAGAGCTGCATTCACATGCTCTGACTGTCATGAAGACAGACATTTTTGCTGAAACGTGCTGAAATATGTTATTCCTGTTGCACAGCAGTGGGACGTTTCACATACAGTCAGCACACTGAGCACAGATATAGTGCAAGAAATATGATTGCTGGTGTGTAAAGGAAATACTGCTGTTAAAAAGCACCTGATTTGTTTAAAGTGTTTACAAACCAAATGTTATTGCCCTTTTGTTCATATAGCAGTACTTTTAAAATAAAAGTGCGCAATACACTACTTTTGAATTCATTATTGAACTTTGCCATAACAATGCGATTAATCGCAAAAAATCCATGCGATTAAAAATTGTAATCATTGCCCAGCACTAATAATTGCATAAAGGAGGAAAGCACTTTATTTGTAGCCTATTAAGTGCTGCAGAATAGATTTATTTTTATATATACTGTTACTGTATATTGGCATTTTAGCAAAACGTTTTTTATTCATTTATTTAATGATTTATTATTATTATTTATTTGGTGCAGAATACTGTTTTGTATTTAAACTAAGGTGTTGTTACTGTTATGTTTAAATCAGTTCCAAGTTACACAAATGTGAATATATTTTAATACAGTTTGCCTGTTCAACATAATATATCAACTAAGACTTTTTTAGATGGGGGGGGACTACGACGACTACGACTGGCAGTGTCCCTACCAATGCTGAGACCAAACCTACGCCCTTGCACAGATTACTTTAAAGCTCATGTGTATTTCAGTCGTTAGCATCGTTACATCCTCTACAGAGAGGGTTATATAAATACTTTTCAGTTCACAAAAATGTATAAAGATGGTTAATGGTGAATGCTTGTGCATGGGTCTTGATATATGATATATCTCATGTTGTAATTATTGATTGAATGTTAAATAATTGTAAATGACAGACCATCTATTTTTATTGTTTATTTGTTTTGAGTGAGGGGCAGGCCTTTTTGGTCATGGAATGTACATAAAGAGTTGAGTTTTGGGTAACACTTTATAATAACTACACACCATGAAGCATTAGTTAAGTATGAGTAAAGACTTAATTCATCATTTATAAAGCATTGTTCCTACATTAATAATTCATTAGTATGCAGTTCATAACAGCAGTTATAAATGTTTTATTCTTGATTAATAAGACCGTCTATTATGCATTTCATTATTGTGTTTTCATACTTTATAAATGATGGATTCCCCATTTGTAAATGAAGTATTATATATTTTACAAACCAATTATTAAGGAGTTGTAGATGATTAATAAGATAATTTATAAAGTGTTAGTAAATGCTGAATAACTTATTTAGATGTACATTATTCATGCATTTATATATATATATATATATATATACATATATATATATATATATATATATATATATATGCTTTGTAAACGCATATTAATACTGCAATTCATGATTTATTAAGGTAGTTACTACTCGTTAGTAAAGTGTTTTATGTGACCTCATCTGAAGTGAGGACTATTTATGCCTTACAAAGCATTTATAAATGACATTGAAAGGCCAGCAGTGCCTCAAGACATAGTTTTTTGTGTACCAGTTCCTGAGCGAAACGTTTGTCCCAAAAAAAGTCTGTACAATCTTTTCCGATCGTACTGTAAATAGGTCATAATGTGTGGAGTTTTGCGAAAACTGTGCCATGGAAAACGATTTGCAAACAATATACTGTTAAATATGTATTATTTATAATCCATCCAGTTAAATTGGAAAACTGAGAATAATTGTTAAAATATAATTGATGTGTACTTTCTTTATTTGATTTGACAGTTGTTGACTACACAGAGACGTTGTTACTAATTAATTAATTTATATATATATATATATATATATATGGCACTAAATAGCGCAAATTAGATATTGCCTCGCTGTCCATGTGTCTTCTGTGGAGTTGTTGAAAACAGTAGGCAAAGGTTCAAATCAATTGAATTTTTGTATAGACCAAAATCACGAATCACAAATTTGCCTCAGAGGGCTTTACAATCTGTACACATACGACATCCTCTGTCCCAGGACCCTCACATCGGAACAGGAAAAACTCCCCCAAAAACCCCTTTAACAGGGAGAAGAGTGGGAGAGCAACAGAGGAGGGATCCCTCTCCCAGGATGGACAGAAGTGCAATAGATGTCATGTGTACAGAATGAACATTTACAGAGTTACAACACATTCAATGCACATGACAGAACCACGGCAGGAGGCAAGACCAGGGTCCAGGTATCACCAGGATCCATGGAAACCTGCGAGGTGGGAAAGCACAGAGACTCCGGTGGAGGAGCAAAGTCAGCAATGTGCGTTAATGATACAGCGAGGAGAGAAAGAACAACGAGTGAGTGAATGAGAGCATAAAAACCATTAAAAATCCATTAAAAAGGATTTGGTAATCCTTAAATTATCATGGTGTCACCAAACATACTAAGCCAAATTAAAAAAAGTGCTAACGGACAAAATCTATTCTGAATCCAATGTTACAGGTCAGATATGCTACTGGTTTACACGACAGGAGTGTGGTGAGAGTATATTACCCCACCATCCTACATCGGACACCGGTAGTACCCTCACACAGACTAACACATGACATACTTGAGGAAGAAGACTGACCGCCCACCCTGACAGCAGCCTGTGGATTGGCCAACACAGCGCCATGCCACCTTACAGGATGTAAGAACTGTCTCTCCCCGACAGTTCAAACGCTCACCGTCAGCATCGGTATAAGCAGCCATGGAATCTCATGATGCATGTGCCACAACAGCGGCAGTGGCCAATGACCAGTGTCAGATATAAATATGATCCATAACCTGTTAGTGAATGATGGCATAAAGACACTGTCCTAATGTAGGAGGTTAGAGTAAATCCCAACATTTTACATGGCTAGTTAATTATTTCACAACTGTATGATGATAAATACTATATTTCAAAATATCCCTCCTATAAGCAAAGCTCTCTAAGTTACTGCGAAGTACCCTAACACATGTTGGCACATGATTTGAAGACAGACCACCCCTCTATCGACACTATTGAAAGGGCAGCCCAACACAGCTACATGTCACCATGCAGGACTTAAGAGACGTGACTGTCTCTCCCCGACAGTTCAAACGCTCACTGTCACGATCCGAGCAACCAGGGAAATTAATCTTGCATATGTCACAACTACGGCAGCGGCAAGACCAGTGTCCAGATATAAATATGATCCATAGAAACCTGTGAGTGAATGAGAGATGAGAGATTCTGTCTCTAAATATTCAAAGTTGGAGGACTGTAAGTATCATGAGTTTGTACAATGAATGCTTGAGAATAAAAAAACTGCAGACATGCACTTTCAAGCTGTAAAAAATTCTCAAGTTGGTAATATCTCTTGTAAGAACTCAGCATTTTGCTTTTTCCATTACCTGCTTCTGTTGCAGAAAGTAACACCAGCAGTCAAAGGTGCAGTGGAATGTTGGATTCAAGGAGTTTCACTCTGAATGAATGGAATAAGTTTAGGGAGTTCATCTCAAGGTGAGGTATAGTATCTTTCTATACACTTTGTGCCTGCAGTATTTCCCCTTCAAGGCTCTCCCTGAAACTAGTTTTCCAGTCAGAGCTTTCCATGTTCAGGTGTAACGTTTTGTTTGCCTGTTATAAATCAGTTGAAGTCGTTATGCCATATGTCCGTTTGCAGAGTAATCGGAAGTGAAAAGAGAGCAAAGACAGACAGTTTTTTTTTTTACAAAAGCAATTAGCCTTTTTTAATCTTACATTGCATTGGAAATTTACATAATAGATTCATACATTTTACAAATAATTTCATCATAAAAATATATTTCTGTACAAAACACTTTTTTATTCTATATTTCTTCTTTTTTTTTTTTTTTCAAATGGTGAATATTTCCAATGTCCCCAGGCAGGAACAGCTTTACGTCTTTCAAATCACATGGGTCTTATTGCGGTCAGTCAGTAGGAAAAGCTTGTGGCAAAATAGACTGAAGCTTAGAAAAAAATGACTTCTGATGAAGGGGAGCGCTTGAGCAGGTTTGAGCGTGTATGTGTTTGAAAGAGCGTGTGTGTGTGTGTGTGTGTGTGTGTAGAAGACGGGGAGGGTCCCATGGTTTTTGGTAGGCACTGTGTCAGATCCATACCGAAAAAAACAACAACAGCAGCAGCGACAACGATGACGACAACAGCAGCAGCAGCAACAATCAATCCAAACCGTAATAAGAAACAATGACACTATAGCGATGAATTACAGGACAGTTGCAGCCGTGATAAACAAGGAAGCCTCAGCTACCACTGCTTTTAAATCAGGAATGATTTTTAAAAAAGGAGTTTTCTCTCAGCTGGTTGCAGCCGGCGCCTGTGGTCACGACAGCAGGGGTTCTAAAAGCAAAGTAGATGTTTTCGCTCACCCTGAGACCAAAACTCATTAAAACCAACCGGTATTCATCATGTGTGCGGCCCAAACTCACCTACTTTAGATGTACGCCTTTAAACCAGGCTCTTCAAAACAAGTATATATGTATATGTCTTTCCTGAAATGGGCACTAAAGCTGACAAACAGTGACTCATGCTCATTGATACATGACTTCCTGTCATGTGGGGACTAATTAATATAGCTATGGTATTATGGTGCATTTTCAGGCCCAGCTCTTACAATATGACACCACTATATGGATGTGTTATGCGTGGTTGCACGCAAAAATCAAGCAAGTTCTCTTCACTTAGCAGTGGTTCACTTACGGCACACAAAACTATCAGAAACGCCAAACAACATGTGCAACAGCAGCCTCCAGTGGCTCACGGCAGCTAAATACAGTGAAGGTTGACCAGCAGAGTCTGAAAGAGTTAGGTTGGTGGATCAGATAGCTACCAGCCAAGCAACATTGAGCGAAGATTATAAGGCTATATTTTCATGAAATAAAAATAAGCAAAAGCAAGGGGAAATATTAAATCTCAATGGCCTTCAGTTATGTGTATGGATTTACTGAATTGTCGACGTGGAATCCTAAGCTCTCCTCCCAAATGGACAGTCCAACGCTTCAGTGTCTCTGAAATAAATGACATTCAAGGCCATTTAGCTTTTGTACACAAGCAAAACACTGATTAAAATCTACTTAGGACGTGCCAAAGGTAGTACAAACTTTTTTTTTTAAACAACTAAAATTAAAGGCTTGAAAATAATAACGTGCGCCAATTCATAGTGAATGTGGATTTTGGTACTAGGGCACATTAAATCTTATCAGAAACCCCCTAAAACAGAATTCATTTGGACCTCAGACACTTCAGTATTGATTTGTGAGACATCTTTAACACAGGGAGGACCTAGACTCAGGTGATTTACAGAGGTTAAAACCTGTGCATTTTGCAACGGAATTAGAAAGTAATTTCAGTAATATTTCACAAACTAACCCATTGAAAACATCCTAAAATGTGTGATGAAAAAAATAAAAACATGAACTAATACACACATTTTCTACATGGGTGGAAACATCTTGTACATACACCGTCGTCCACAAACTACATGTTGGGCAGTTCACAAGCAATTACTATTATTATCATCATTACTATTGTTTTCCCCGTGTGTTTCTTCTGTTACGTGGCCTTGTGAGAGACCGTTTGGCCATGTGTAATCAACGAGTGGGTTCCATTGAGACCCGGGATTTCTCTGTGTTAACTCGACAACACTGCATCCTGTTGACATCTCTGAGTTTTGATGTGCAAAATGTCTGTGGCATCATATCACCAGTTAGGTTAGAAAACAGAACCGTTTATTCCAGCAGATCATTAAAATGTTGTCTGTGTCACAATGGCGGCATTTGTGGAGGACACGTACAGTAGCCAACAGTTCTAGTGAAGGGGCAAAACAAATGGCCATAGCACAAACTACACGTCAACTTTAAAGAGCATGATTGCTGCTGGCAAACCTTGCATCTCGACAATAATGACAACAACAATACCGCTGACACTCGTGATTGCCTCAGTGGGAAAGACAGTGATAGTGAGAGGAACTTCACGTTACACAGGATATTAAAATAAACCAATTCCAATGCAGGAAAGGAAAATACTGTGTGTGTGACTTCTGTGAACAGCACGCAGTATCTTTTATTCTCATATTTCATTTTTTGTTCTCGCTAAAAACTCTATAATCGCTATAATCCGTCTTTCTCCTTCAGCCCCCCCCGTGGTAAATATATAGCACAAAAATATAGGTGGTGAATGCTCCCGAATATATATGCAATAGATTTACAGATCAGAAGATTCTGCAGCAATAACAAAGAAAGAAGATAAGCACTCGCAGAGTGCAGAATTACAGTGGAACTGTGTCCACAGTCGTAGGGCTACAACCCTGTTTGTCTTTCTTTGAGCCTGTCTGTCAATGTCCGTCTGTGTCTCCCGTCGATCGGCCTGTCTCTGTGTCCGTCCTTCTATAAACCTGTTAATCCGTGTTCAAACCGTAAACCTGTCTGTGGAGTAATGGATGATGGTCTGCAACAGTCTTAAGACCCTGCTTGTCTTGAACCTGTCTATCTTCCTTGTGTGTCTAGCTGTTGGTCTTTACACCATCTGTCTTTCTGTCTGTCTCTACAGATTTGTGTTAGTGTGTGTACCTGTCATCTCCTCTGTCTGTCATTCACCCTGTCAGTTTCTCTCTCACCTCTCTATCTGTCCATGTGTTAGTCCATCTCTCAGTGGGTAGACAGGTAGTGTTCCTGTAAAATGTGCTTTAGTGCCAGAGCTTTCTCTGTTTCTCAAAGTATTTTTCTTTGTTAGTCCATCAGAGTCCTCTGTATCTATTCAGCGCCCGTTTTTCATCAGAATCCATTTAAATTCACAGGATCAGGATCATCTTTCCTCAAGGCCATATTCTGTCTGATCCGATTCATGATGTAGAGGGAAGGTTGACCTCTCTCAGCGGTTGATTTCAGGTTTCACAGGCTCTGATTGGCTGTGTTAGGATTCTAAGATCTCGTCTCTTCTCTTGATGACTCCTTTACTCTTCTTTCAGTTCAGTTCCGGTGTTGTCTCTGTCTCCTCCTTCTCTTAGCCAGTGGATATGAAAGAGCAGTGTATCCATCAGATGAGGCAGTCTCTTCTCATCTGTTCTAGTAGTGCTAGCTCCCCCTCAGACTCCTTTTAGTGTTGCTTTGCTCTAATCCCAGTTCAGCTAGGATTAGAGCTCCGTCTCCAGGGCTGCCCTTATCCTTTGCTTAGGAGTTAGTCTCTTTTCAAAGCAACTTTTGCTACTGTCTGCTAGCATTAGCCGTTTTTAGAGTCCGCTTTCATAGAAAAAAAAAAACAAAAGACTGGTAATACGAGCCTCTGGTTGTTGTGGAGACAGAAGGTTGTACTGTTCGAGTCGCATTCACAGGCTCCTATTCAACAACGAGTCGGTGCAGTTAACCGATGCTCTGCTGGTGACAGCGTCTTTCACTGTCAGTTTCAAACCCACATATTTAGAAACCGGTTTCTTTGCCTTCACAGTGTCACACTTTTCCATCTGTGGCCATTTTGCTTCAGTGTTCCTCACAGTAAGGATTTCAGTTCAGTACAGATGAGGAGACAAGGCGGTACAAATTAAATCAACGCATTTTTGTAGTGCAGTTTATCTCAAATGATGTACAACCATGGTGAGAGCGCTGATGACGTGCGCTCTCTCTCTCTCTATCTCTCTCTCCAAAGCTCTGTGTGTAATATAAAACTCGCCATTGGGTTGTGGTGACATATCATGATAACCGACGAGCAGGTCATGGCTTAATCATTACCATTGGTATTAGAGAGAGTGATTGGGGTTAAATAAGAAGTCCAAGTAAAATGGCTGTGTTGGGTTGAGAATCAAATTATAAACTATCCATGACCAGCCGAGTCTTGGGGTTAGAGATGGATAATAGCCGCTTTCGTTTTCCTTTGGGTAGCATCCATTTCTGTCACTTGATGGCACATCTGCGTCGCATCAGTCAAAGGTAGCAGACATTTTGTGGTCACATTTGTTTTCAATTTCATCTGTGGATACAAAATGCTGTAAAAGAAAGGAGCCAACGCTGCGTTTTGGTTTCAAGTGGACAGCGTTCCCTCTGCTTGGGGAGAGGTTAGGTTTCTGAACTGGGACTGAAGGTAGTTTGTAATCAATGTATAGACCGCCTTGCTGACGATGTTCAGGTCTGCGTCGAAGGCTTCCCCCTCCACAGTCTCACACCAATTGTGGTCCCATTAGATATCTAAGTCATTGAGTTTTAAGAGAGGATAATCAATCCTCAGACCATGGTGCAGACAGTATTTAGATTCGGATCGAATCTAACAACCTTCTCCTCCACAGCCTTGGCGTTGGTGTTGTACATGGGGTTCTCAAAGGCAGCCTGGCCGTTGTTGTTCTCATGGACTGAGCAGCCTGTGTACTGTGTTTTTGGTGTGGTTCTGTGGAAAAAACAAAACAGAAAAAAAAGAACACACCGTTAACGTGATAAGATGGTTCTAATTGCCTACTAATATTAACATAACTGGGTAGCCAGTGGACAAGTGAATGCAGTCTTGGGAGAAGAGGCATAGTCAACAAGCTTTAAGAAGGATTAGAGAGAGTGTTGTGCTTTTTAGGAAGCCTAGTGAGATTCCGATCAGCCCATCCAAAACTAATTCCTTCAGCAAGCTTTTCCTTGAGATATTAACAGCAGAACATAAGTTATTTGCATCTGTCAACAATGCGAACACCAGTCAATTGTGCTTAAATCATGTCTCTGAAAAATCCAATTTAACACTTCCTAAACAGAATTGTGTTGCAGTGCAGTTTGTGATAGACAGTTGCTTGACTGTCTCTTAGCATCTCAACGACCGAACCACTGAGGCAGCTACTGTTTTCATGAATTAGGCCGCTTCTTAAAATGTTGCCTTTCAACATTTTTTTGAATGACAATAACAAAAAAACGGAGGTGAAGTAAAAATGCTGTGACAAGAACATATTCTTTTCTACTGCTGAAATTTTAAAGAAAGACATTTAAAGGAGCTACACCCTTTTAGCAGATACCTTTGTTTGTAGAGATAGAAGCCAAAGCCAGTGAAGATAAGAGCAAAGAAAGGCACCAGAATAGCGATAGCCACAGAGCTGCTGTTGGTACCAAGCTGAGGTGGTGGCGAGTTCTGGCTCTCTGACATATTCAGACCTGCAACATACAACAAAATGCATTGTCATTATCCACACAATTAAGAGTGACTGCTTTAAAATAATCAAAACGGTGATTCTGTTCTCTAAAAAAAACACATGTGTAATAGAGTATTCCTCCTAGTTGTTGTAGTACTGTACAGCATGTACGACATCTGTGGCAGGGATGCTGGTAACTGTCAAAGTGATTGGCATTTCTCACCGCACCAGCTGCAAGTGTCATCTTATTAACAGTGGATGCTGGAAGATTACTTTTTTACACTTCTAGGATGTCCATGGGCTGGACTGGAGAAGTGGTCAGAACTTATTAAATCTGTTCTTATGCCCAATATATTTAGTTTTTGGGCAGTGTGTTTTGGCATCGCTGCAGATCAGTTGCCTATAACTTAAAGTGAGGGACTGCTTTCAAGTCTATTTGATGGAGATGGATGTTGTCTGTGGATGGAGGTTAATGGAGTTCAGTCCTCGTAAGATGACAGCGTTTGCGTTTGGTGAGAATGAGCCCACTGCAGGGCTGACTCAGCGTTAGCAATAAGGTCACTGTTGCCAGCAAAGAGAAGCTCCCTCATCACTTCCTCCATTAGTGAGGTTCTCGCAAAGGAGTTCATCAGATTTTTCCAATCATCATTTATAGTCCAAATTGACTTTTGTGATGCTGTTACTTAACCTGAGAGAGAATTACCCAGTCTTTGGAGTCCAAACTGTCCGTAGTCTTTTCCCTGAATGAAACCCTGGAATACGTAACTAGAACCGTCAGGCTCTGCCGATACCTGGAGAGACGAGAGGGGAAAACATGGGACAAAGGTTGGTTACACCATGCCAAGTAATGAGCAGTGAGATGTCTCACTCTGACAGGTCTGAAAGTGTCCTATAAAATGACAGCACGCCGTAAAATGCCTGTTCAATAAGATGTTAGTCCACCAACTGTTTGTCTTGCACTTTTGATTAACAATAATATGAAGCATTTCTTCAGTCACATTTTGTTTTAACCCCTCTAAATTATTTAGTTGACTGCCCTGTATCCACTGAGACTTACAAATCCATCCATGGTCCATGAGTCATCTATGATTTTGGCTGGAGAGATGGCTGAATCTTTGAGCTGGTTTCCCTGGTTCTCATAGTTCACCTGGTACATCAGCAGTGACAGCCTGGCCTCGGAAGCCTTATATACTCCTACAGAGGACAGCATAAACAACTGGTTTACAATATAACAGCGCGAACAACGTGAAATACATCAGAAATCAATGGCTGTGGTTATTACAGATTGTTACATCTCTCAGCACGCGGTTCTCCTTCCACTAGTGCATCGGCAAGATGTATACATCATGTCCAATTGGAAATTGAAAAGACAAAAAGAAAAAAAAGGAATCTGAATGCTGCTGTAAAAATAAATAGAATACACAGTAATTAAAAAAAAAAAAAAATGGATAAAACTGAGAGAGAGCTGAATTTTGACAGCATGTTTGGACTAAAACTAAAAGTGTTGAGTCAAGATATAGTTCAAACGTGTTGTAATTTTCGCTTTGAGTATCGCCAGGCTAGCTGTTTCCCTCTGCTTCCATTCTTTATGCTCAGCTAAGTTGATCTAAGATTGATTTTGTCTTCTCATGGTTTCTCTCAGAAAGAATGCAAACATTCCCAAAATGTTGAACTACTCCTTTACAGTGCTTAGGTAAGTCCAACTTGACATTTAAAGAAAAATCTAAAGAGCAAAAACATTCAAGGTTGATGCAACTGGGCCCTGTAATTCTAGTCTCTGTGGGAGCACTTTAGCTGTTATTGATCTATAGTAAAGCTGCTCCTTAAAGCCAGAGGACGCATGTTAAAAGTCTGGTACTGTAGCCCTTTGGTTTTGTGATATGGCGTTTGTGCGCTCTGCTAACTCCAGGAACCAATTCTAGCTTCAACAGGATTTGTGTTTTAATAGGGTCTTAACCCCCTGCTGACACTGTTGTAGGACTCTGGGAGGTCTGTGTGAGCTCGGGGGGGGGGAATACAGTTGCGACATTAAAAAGAAGCTCGGAAAGTAGTGAAATGCAGAGCCTGTAAGAAATGTTTCAAAGAGTCTCAGTGAATGCGTTATGATAGGAGCTCCGTATTACACAGAATAGCTGAGTGTTTATTTATTACCAATGGATACATAATGATGTACTGAAGCATAGTCATGATACACAGAGTACTGGCTATGACAGGTCCTGTCATGTAAAGTCACATATGCTGTACTGGAGGGTATGGTTAATTATCCATATTCAAACATGCCTGACAGGAGCAGTTCCATATTGCCGTTGCTCAGGGAGACGTTGACTCTCCCCGTTGTGGAGTTAAAGCTGGTGATGCTCAATGTCATCGGCTGCTTCCTCCCACGGTAATTATAGGAACCTTTCCATATGTAGTTAGGAGCAAAGACGTCGTCGGGAACTACAGAACAGAACAGAAAAGAACAGAGGAGGAGAGATAGGACTGATCAGAATACAACAGCATAGAGCGGATTACAACAGAGCAAGTCAGGATATAATATAACAGAATAGATCAGAGGATATTAGATTAGAGTGGAATAGAATAGAATAAAATAGAATAGAATAGAATGGAATATAAGAGAACAGAACATAATATAATTAAACATATTAACATAGAACAGAACATAAGCACATTAAAACAGAACAGATTAGAATTGAAAATAAAAAAACTGATTCGTACAAAACAGAGCAGAAGAGAACAGATTAGAAGATAATAGGACAGAATAGATAAAAAATAGCATAGAATAGAATGCAATAGAAATTACATTAAGATAGATCATATTTTTTTTATAGATAACAGTCTAAAATGTCAAAAGGAAATCTATTGACTGAACAATAGTCACAAGTCTTCACTTACACAAGATGACAACATGGATGAGCACAATATGCATGAACAAAGGAGAAGCTGCCTAACTGCTTGTTTTTTAATGATTTGGTTACAGAGGGCTGAGGGCTATCAGTGAGATCAAACATGGCATGCAGTTTAGTTAAATCAAATAAACATGTTGCAGAAAAATACATAAAGGATCGTATTACATACAGTAAATATGGAAATACATGAACGTTCAGGTTGCACCCTATGTTCATATGTAGTACATGTAGTTAGATACAATAATTAATACCTGGCTTTAGGCAGAATCTTTTCTCAGATTAAAAGGATGCTCCCTGTTTTAATAATTACAGGAACTCATGCATACAGTAGCTATGGGAACTCTTTCATGTGCAGTGAGAAGCAAGGACTTATTAAATAACAAGCGAATAGGACGGATCGCAACGGAGCCGATCGGAAAATAGAGAACTGAACAAAGCGACAGCACAGAGAGAAGGAGATGATCATCGTAGTTTATTCACCTTTCTTTGTGAAGTGAGGAAAAATAAATTATTCAGAACTATGATGGAAAGTGCAATAAAATCGACAAAAACACGAGAAAAACACTGTGGAACAGAGCAGAGCGGACTGAACAGGAGCTGAACAGAATGTATTAAACCATAGTAGACAAGACCACACTAAACCGTACCAAAATAGAATATATAAATAGAGTCTAGACCAGACAAAGAATGACAGGACTGAACTAGCCTGGAATAGAAAAAAAATGTAATAGGACTGACCGTTTAGTTTGGGACTGGGAGTTCCTGTTGCTGGTTTCACCGGCTTTTTCTTCTCTCCAGCTACACACACACAGAAGAGAAACAGAGGGTGAACTATTATGTCTCATTATAACACACGAGCGGAGCTGTGGGGACAGAGTATGAGAAGGAATTAAAAGGTTCTGGTTGGCCTTACAGGTCCATCAGTTGATATCTTAATACTCTAGGGCCATGCAGGGGAGAGTGCGCGTAACATTACCAAATTAGAATGCAGGGTTGGTCCCTATTAGTCACACATGCGCATAATGAACGACAAGTGTGTTGAAAAGGGTCATCCAAAATAAGCCTCTTTAATGGGGTATTTGTAGGCAATGCAAATAGAGTTTGTGACCAATAATTGTCGTGCATATTGGATCCCTTTTAAAAGTGGCCTTAAGACACTTTGGGTTTTGACCATTCAGGGAAGCTTCTAACACCGCTTCAAGATGCAGCCATTGTTGCCAACAAGTAAAGGCAAGCAAAGGGAGTGGGTATTTGTCCTAGAATCTCAAATTGGATCAGAGAGTGCTCCAATTTTAGAGGCTACCTCGGGGCAAAAGGGTGACGGACTTGGTGGAACAATTTCAAAGTTGAAGCTTGCAGATTTTCCTCGCACCAAGGTTGGTCCACAACTTCCTCTGGTGACAATTCTTGATGAATAACACAAAAAGCTCAAGCATTTCTAATGTGCAAAAAAATAAAAATACACAAATTGGCACATGTGCCTTGTGCTGTTTGCAATAGTGTTGATGGAAGTTTCTGTGATACAACAGGAGAGCTACCAAATGGACCTTGGGGTCAGATTGTTTTGTCGGTAACAGTTTTCAAGATGAAGAAGGCACCTTCAATCTCCACTTTCAAACCCGAGTGGACAAGAAGTCCTTAAGGTGCTCAGAATGGTGGACATTTAAACATGTACAATTCCATTTGCAGCTGGGCAAACTCCATCTGCTGATTGTGTGACATGACTGAAAGCTCCAGAACAGCTACTAAAAAGACATTATGGTGAGATTGTTTTGGCAAGTATTGATGAGGTTTAAGTACTCCCTAATGGTGAGTATTCTCTGTGAGTTTTTAACACGCTCAGACAAAAGGTCAATCAGTCACAATCCAATGTTTCCAAGCCAAATTCCTTGAATGTCCAAACATAGTTGGTAAACCCAACAAACAGATCATCCCACTTCTCATAATATCTATCCCACTTCTCATAACCCAACGCATTCAGTCTGCCGTTGTCAGCTCAAGAGATAACCTCACCTGGAAGGAGCTGGTCAGGCGGATCTAATGAAGGATGAAATGCCATGGGATATTGTTTTATCTTTTTTTGTTTTTTTCATCAGGGCTGCCAGACCAGCGACCAGCCCACCAGGAAATCTAACCCTACACCAGATGGCCAGTTTACCCCAGTATGCCTGCTGACAAAGCGTCCTTGAGCAAGACACACGCAACACTCCGACCTGTTCACTCATTTCTTTTCTGGACACGATCTTCTATCAAATGCACTAGAAGCTCCTTTTTTACCTCGACATATAGGCATCTTTCCCGTCCAAGTGCCGTCATTCTTGCAGACTCTGTGTTCAGAACCACCCGCCAGGAAGAAGCCATGCTGACAGCTGTACACCAAGGTGTAGCCAAAACCAGGCAGATCCATCCCCACCACGTCCACATGGAGCGGGCTCTCCGGCTGCTTACAGGCATGGGCTGGAGAGGGTGGGGAAGAAATGTGTGCACGTGAGTCAGAGTCTGACAGGCAGAAGATGGATGGGCGATGGGTTAACAAGATGATAAGATGTGTCGTTTCCTACGTATGCACTCAGGTTGTGCTCCGCTCCACGTCAGATCAGGCTGGCAGGTTCGAGAGGAAGAGCCCTGAATCAAGTGACCCGGCTGGCACTGAAAAGACACCACGTTTCCCACCTGTGGAGAGAGGGAATGAGACAAAATAACACAAACAAACACACACACAAACAAATATAACAAGAGTTAACGTTTTCTGAAATTCTTCAAAGTAAAGGAATGCTACATTTTTAGGACATTGGTCATTAAAACAGATGAAGAAGTTTTGCTCTGACAAATACCACATACAATAAAATGTTCATTCAAAACTCCATAATATGTCTTGTTTATATATTCAGAGCATTTGATGTCAATCACCAAATTCATAAAATACCGTCAGACATGTAGATTATGTGCAAATGCATGTCACAGCACACTAAAGCTTTTTACACAGAAATAGTGGATACAATCCACAGTCCTTGTTCTGTCCATGAATGTATTCCAAGTTCGGCCAAAAGCTAATATGAGACTTCAGCAGTCTGAGTCAAAGCAAATGGTTATCTTCCAACATTACCGTCACTTTAGTGACATTGCCTCTTTGTTTCCGGTGCTTCCTCGATGAGCTGCAGTGGATGGGGTATCTCCTGGTAGTTGCATGTGGGTTTTGTTGACAGCACACAGCAGCGGCACTAAACCAACACCCGACTGCCTGACGGAGATGTCCACTTGATTTGACCGACTCAGAGAGCTGAAGCTTCGGCTCAAATGTAGAATGCATTTTTGCACAAAACAAGAAATCCTCCCCCTCCCGTCTTTTACAGTGAAGTAAACAAAGGAAGGGACAGGATGAGCGATTATAGCTGTTTTAATATAAATACGACACATTTTATTAGTATTGTATTCGGATTAAAAATCAAGGGAGAAAGAAATGTGAGTCATGGTCCCATCCTGATGGCCTTGGGGTTAAAAAGCTTTCTATGATTGCAATTTTGTCACCTCCATGCCGTATCGTGGGAGCTATGTCTTCAATATGTCTGGTTGTGTAAGGCCGTTCTGGGATTTCTGGAATTCATTTTCATATTTGATTAAACTGCAAAATAACATCAAATAAAGTTTGACATATCAAACTGTCCAAGTTGAAATCCTTTTCTTCGTCTGTCTCACTCCTTCCTTCCCTTCTCTTTTTTTTGTAGTTAGATACATTGGTATGTTCCACTTTACCTATTAAATTCAGTCACAATGAAAGCTCCTATATGAGTTAGTGAGTTACCTGTGCAGGAAGCTCGATAGAGTTATTTCAGACGGATATTTTACCTTGAAACCGAAGGTCCGGTTTAAGGAGCCGTAGCGCGGCGTTCCTGGGTTATCACAGCTAGTCTTGGTCGGCTCTGGAAAGAACATCACAAGCGGGGAAGTTATTACGAACAAAATCTAAAAGAAAAATGCATTAGCGGTACGGCATTGTATGTCCTCCCTCAACTGTCCTCTCCTCTGTTGTCATAGTAACAGCAGGGTATAGATGCCAGCAGGACAGCAGGGGGCAGTAGTGCTTTATCAGAAAACGAAGCAGGGCCGGCTTTGAGTGTGTGTGTGAGTGTGTGTGTGTGTGTGTGTGTGTGTGTGTGTGTGGTAGGAACATCAGCATGTAGAGCACATCCTGACGCAGAGCTCTATTCAATACAGCTTCCGAAATGACAGATTCACTCACCCCCTCTCCCTTACTCTCTCTTCCTCTACCTCTCTAACTGCCCCCCCCTCTTACTGCTGTCTCCCACTTCCTCTCTTTCTCTAACTGCTCTTTGCTCTCTTCCTCTCTCTTCTATTTTCCCATGTCACCGTATTTCTCTCTGCCCACACGCCTACCTCCCTCCTTTCGTCTGTCTTATTTAAAGAGCAGGCTGCTTCAGCTCAAAACTCATTCTGCTTCAGTCACATAGCGATACACATCACACCCCAACATACAGCTGCAATCACACACTAATAAATCAACCCCAGCAAACACACGCAAAGCCCAACACTTCACTTCCAAAAACACACACTGAGATGTTTGTGTGTATGTTGGCGTTTGTTTCAAAGTCTCAGTCTTAAAGAACGTCACAATATAGAACAGAAGGATTCCTACTTCTACTACTTTTCAGTAGTTATCGATTAAGTCTTTGCATCGGCGAAGTATCACTTCAGAGGGAGCCTTCGTCTTTTAGATTGTCTATTTCAAAAGGGACATCCGGCTTTATAGCAGCTGTAAAGTTCTGTAAGAGTGCCTTATCCAGTGCTATGAAGGAACAAAGAGTCAAGCGTCTACAAAAGCTCTCATTTATTGCAATTCATCACCATACTTGATGTTTAAGCACCTGCTCTGAATCAGACATGTGAAGTGGTGCTCTAAACATCACGTGGCAGTGAGCTGACCCAGTGGGATCATTTGTAATGTGTGCTGAATATATCGCTTCTAATTTTCTTCTCGATCTCCAGATAGCAGCAACTCATTTGAAGTCGGATGCCCATTCCCGTTTCTGGAAACCTTTTACTAAATACTGGAAGTTACGGCGTGTACTTATGTCTCGCATTTTCTCTATCATTTCCTATAGATCCCTACTTTTTAAACCAGAATGGACATAACTCATTGAATGTCTGACTGTTTTAGAACTTGTACTCGTGTAAAAAACCTCATTGTAACTATATTTCCAAAGTGTAGTGGTTCTCCGATGAATGATCAGCTGCTTAACCTTGATTTGAGATGAATATTCAAGTTACGTGACCATATCAAATATATATTGCATAAAACGGATTGCGTCCATCTAGTTGTTATGCCAATCATCGGCTTAAGTTGAAGCTAAAGCTCGCGAAACAGAAGCTTTTAATATTCGCTCACACTGTGTTTAAGTCGGAATCATTTCTATATGTAAAATGCAAGGCGCCTAAGATTTTGATGCTAACAGTGAAAGAAACAGCAGTTTTATAAGGAAGATGAGGCAATTTTGAAATGGTACTTAAAAAAAAAAACATCAGTGGAATTATTTAAGGCTTGTCCTCCGAAGACTCCTTTTTAATTTACAAGATTGTCTCAGATGAGCCTCCAGTCACTATTCATTATTATTCCAATAGGTCTGTGTAACTTTAACTTTCACAGAACAGTAGCTGCTCTGCAGAGCAAACCCATGAGTAAACGACGGGTCACTAACTGCCACGATCATTAGGCAGGGGAACATCAGACACCAGCCAAGGCTCCCCGCTGAGCCACAAACCAGTCATAATAAACTGGCAGGCTAGCATAACAAAATCATTAGTTTCACAGGTTACAAGCCCACACAGAGAGTAAAAACAAGCAAAAACAATATTAATCAAAAGGAAACATGTACAGCAATGGGAAACCATTAAAAACAAGTCTGTTATACTCTGCTTTGATATGATATATGATACATATTTTACTTCCTAAGAAATATTATTCAAAAGTCTGGGGGCTCTCTTGGACTTACCATCACTGCCTTTTAATTTCAACCCAGACTTTGAAGTGGGTAAGACACCCCTGCCTGAGGATGCCAGACTGTGGCCCAGCATATGTGAGGGTAAATGATTGATGATATAGTCAGGAAGTATTCAAAAGTAATCAGTCAAATCTTAAAGATATTTTTGGTAAAGGTTAAAAAAATCTTAGTACTGTATTTTGAAGTTGGAGACTTAGTTGCTCAGCATAATACAGTTGTTTTTTTCTTAACTTGTGAATTTATTTAGAAATACAGTAAACATTTTGACATATTCTATGTTGGTAGAGTGAGGCCCATAGGTCTGGGTTGACAGTCTCATTTTTCGTACCAACCAAAATGCATCTCTAAGATTTGAAAACTGTCAAGTTCCAAAAACTGGAATTTAATGTCTGGTCAGATACATGCTCTTGTTTATTATTCTCTCATCACATCAATATGTTGCCAATTAGTTCTTGTGTTTGAACATTTAACATTTGAGAACTTTCACTTCTTTTGTTAAATGAAAAAAAGGTTTTTGTAGGGAAAACATGTTCATATTTCTCAAACTAAGGTATCACAAAAAAGATTAGTGCGATACACAGTTCTACGGAGAGCCAAAGTCATTTTCAACATACTGTAGGTTCTTGCAATTGAAAAAAATATGGAAAATGAGGAGAAATTAAAACTGATTTCTGTAGGCCAACATAGAAACAAGTGCACATAACTGTAATATAACTTATTATAATACCTTTTTTATAATAAAAGATGGTATATATATATATTTGGATGACTTGTTTCATTTGTTGAATGGCCTCCCTGTCTTGTCTGGTCATCACGTGAACCTAAAGTCCTCAACATACCGATACAGCGAGGATGCGTGCCGCTCCAGGTACCGTCACTCTCACAAAGCCTGGTGGCTGTGCCGACAACAATGAGAGGAGAAGCACAACTGAAGGCGACTTCTGATTGGTAGATGAAACTTCGTCCCTCTCTGAAACCACCGGCTGGAGTACCTGGGTCACCACAAAACTTGGCTGCACACATACACACACACACACACACACACACACACACACACACACACACACACAGAGACAATCCCATTTCAGTATGTGGTGCTAATATTGCTGACAGGCATTTGCATACTTTTTGGGCAGCTCAAGGACAAATGGAGATTTTGCTTTCAGTTGTAACTGATGGTTGATAAAGAATAATGACAGGCAATTTGTGTGCTGGTATATGAGGGTTAGGGTGTGTGTGTGTGTATGTGTGTGTGTGTGTGTGTTCTTACGTAAGCACTGCGGTAGCATGCCGCTCCAGGTGCCATTGGACACGCAGGTCAGGACAGCTGGGAATGAGAGCTCATACCCAGGTGAGCAACTGTAGCTCACGCTGCTGCCCCATTCAAAGTCGCTGCCCTGCAGTACCCCATTACTGATGGCAGGGGGAGGCGGGCAGGTCACAGCTATGAGAGAGAGGAGGGGGGGGGGAAAGAGAGAGAGAGAGAGAGAGAGAGAGAGAGAGAGAGAGCAGCATCAAGTTCTAAGCAGCTGCAGGTGAAAAATCACTGGCGATGTACAGGATTTCAACTATTGATTAGAAAATTTGCACATCATTTTTTATAGCCATTACAATTTACCAATTCAAAGAGTTGGGAGACACCCTTGTCCAGGAAGTCTTTCAATCAAGACCAGTAACAGATACGGTTTAAACTAATCGATTAGAGGTTGTTACAGGTGACTCATATTATCTGTATTCTTGATTTTCCTCACAGAGGCACTGAGTGCAAGGAGAGCAGAATCTGCTGTGTCAGTCTCTATATAATGTTGCTCGGGTTATACAAGGGTTTACGTTGGACTAAGAGCTCATTTATGAACATATCTGTTATAATGTGCTACTTGTGCGAATGGGACATACATACCAGTAACACCCTCTGGTCAAAGTAGTGTTAGTGGTGGTTTTAAAACATACTCGACAGAAAAATGATGTGAAAAGTTAAAGATGGCCAAGAATAGTTTACAGATGATAAACAATGTACCTGTACACATGGGCATATTCCCACTCCACGTCCCATTGTGGGTGCACGTCCTCACAGGTGATCCGTCCTCCTCCATTCTGTATCCTGGTTGGCACTGGAAGGAAACATTCTGACCGATTGTAAAGTCTTCTCCGTAGCGAAGCCCGTTAGCTGGCACACCTGGATCCCCGCAATTTATCACTGTGTAAATGGACAAGTGGGAGTTAGAGAGTGAGAGATGGGATTAAGATTACTTTTCAACTCATGCCATGGCACGACAGAATTTGCTGAATACTTCTTCTGCATGCATGCTCTTTCATATATGTGATATACAGTATATGGAGAGAAAAAGAAAGACAGTGGAGTTGACAGAATTCAATCAAAGGACAGAAAGGGTGGTAGTGAAAGAGGATGGACACTGAATGCAGACAAAGGGGGAACGGCTTTTTGTAGATTTCAGTAGGAATTTTATTTTTGTACTTCTAAATCTTAATCACATTTTTTTTTTTTTTAACTGTGCAGACCTGGTAAATATACATCAGAATGGCATGGTTCAGGTTAAAGTTTGTAACTGTTAGATGATTTAATCCCAGTGTAACCACAGTTGGTGTTATCCAAGAGACGACTTGACTAGAACTATAAACACTGTACTTAACTTCACAGCTACTTCTTTAAAGTTGTGGAGATTAGAGTGCATGGCAAATCTGTGCGATCATGCAATCCATATGATCTCTTCCGATTTAGTTATGGGCTTCAATTGTTGTGAATGAAACAACAAAGATAGTAAAAATGGCCGAGGTTGTCCTGGGACTCTTTTAAGGAGCATTAGGATTCCCCAGATTGCACTTATACAGCACTGTCCTTCATAGTCTCTTAGGCACTTTAAATGCTTTTAAACCCACCCCAGACACTGTCATGGCTGTTAAAGTATTGTAATCTACTGTAAAAGCTATCTCCGTTAAGTCAGGGGATTCTTAAAAAACGTTGCTCTTTCCTGCACCCAGTCTTGAAGAGATGTGGTTATTCAGCATTTCTATATTTTGTTCCTTACTGCTGGATATTTTATACCTTATTTCTTTGCGTAAAGCATTAAATACATGAATGTCACTGAATGTTGGAAAATATAAAAAAATACAGCTGGAACTCCTTCACGTGGGGTCCAAAGCGAAGTGAATTTCACCTTGAGACACAATGTGTTTAACAAGATATGTTGTTTGCGAGTGTAATTTTGAGTGTTACGTGCCACTTTACAAGCAGATTTTGTAATCTGTGTAACATGCAGCACTGATTAACACTTGTTCAACCATGGCTTTGGTCACATTTCATATGGGAGCAGAATGTCATATTTTATGGTTATTTACAGAGATCAAAAAGCAAATTAGCTTAAGTAAACAATGATCAAGGTTAGACACTCTATAAAGTCTCTACAGCAGGTTTCATTACTCAGAACCTATACTGTCACAGAATAATTTAAAACCAGGAATCAAATAAGGTCGCAAAAAGGCTGGAAAGGAAACCTTATAATTACGCATCAGTAAGTTTGGCGATATTTACGGTTTGCAGACTTGACGTTATTTGCAAAGCGATGATTTAACACCCTGATTATAAACAGTAAGTAATGCATGAAGCTGACAGTCTGCTCTTTAGGCTACAAGTCACCTTACATGCGAGTTGTTTCAAAATAATTAAAGTATTGCACAGAACGGCATTTACTGGTTGACCATCAGATATTCTTAAACTATGCACAAACTGATCTGTTGGTCAATCAGCCATCCCTCAATATCCAACAGGTAACTCACTGGTACAGTTCGGCTGTGCCCCTGTCCACGTCCCGTTGGCCTGACACAGCCTGGTGGTGGCGCCGGTGAGCAGGTAGCCGTCCACGCAGGAGTAGATGACAGAGTGAGAAAAGGTCGTACCATCCAAACGGAATACTCTGCCATTACTGGGAGTGCCGGGGTTACCACACTGGACAGCTGGGGGAAAAAAACGAGAGAATGAGTGAGAGAAAAAAAAAGCCTTGTGCATCTCAATGAGTTGCAGCTCTACGCATGACTGATTATTTAGGGAGAGTGTGTTCATGGGTAGATCTGTACACTGGATCAGTGTCAAGCTGCTGGACAGCAATTGATTGAGATTAAGTAAAATGATCTTCCTACGTTTACAGAAGGGCTGCGTGCCAGACCACGTCCCGTTGGGGAAGCACATCCTCTCCGAAGAACCGATCAGATCATAGCCCTCCGAGCAGCTGAAGTGAACGTTGGAACGGATCCTGAAATCTGTTTGTTCCCTCGAACTCTGGGAGGGAATGCCAGGATCACCGCAGGAACCAGCCGTGTCGCCTACAGAGCGAAACACAAGGAGACAGTCAGGAGAGAAGGGAGAGCGAGAAAAAACAACAAAAAAAGCAAATGATTATCTAAACAATAACTGTTATTATACATCAACAACATTGTAAAGTGAACTCAGCAGTGTAAGGGCAATATTTGCTTCCGGCTTCAATATAAATCACATTCTCAGGGTCCTTAGCATGACTTGGCTGCTTACAAATTGTAGTGGACTGCACACATATGTTGGTGACAAGGGGCGTATGTTTGCCTTAAGAGCATAAGTGTGTGTGTGTGTGTTTGATTCTGACTCTGCCCTTGCAGAGCCGCCTGGTCAGCAAATTCTGCCTGACAGACAGAGCACTTTCCTGAGAACAACCACACGCTTTCACACACAAACGCACACATTGTCACCCACATGTACAAGCCAAACATTTCTGGTCACTATTGCTTAATGGTCCAAAATTTGCATCGGATTATGTATCAAATCCGGACTAATTAATTCGTTTTGAACAGCTCAAAAAACGCAGAATGCATATTTTACCACTTTTGAAGGGATTTAAAATGGACTCACACCATACACATCCATTAATGACCATTCATTCAACGTGTGCAGCGAAAAACTGTGTGTGATAATCAACCACCTTAACAATTTCCCAAATGTGTCTGCAATGTTTTTTTGTGATTTTCCTCATATTTTTGACAAATAACCCAATTTCCCATTCGCTCAGTTTGTACCATACTGCAAATATCTAGAGGCTTGCTGCTGAATTGAGCTCACACATGCTACTGACACAACACATAATGACATAACATCTATTGTAATGCCTTAGGATTTCTAAACAAATAAGCCTTCGCTGCATTGCTTCATGATCATTTGTCTTGTAAAAGCTTGTAAATGTGAGGGAATGGTGAATTAATATTTCGTCTGATTACTGGGAACAGATCAAAAACCAGTAAGGGCACAAACTCACATACTTTACGTCTTCAGAGACAATACCACCTACGCAACTCCAATTGTAGGCTCACGCGCACACACATACACAGCTCCAAAGTCACCATGTAGCCTTGGGTGTATCTGGTCTCAACAGGGAGTACAACCAATCTACCGGATGTCACTGGTGCAAGTTTGTGTGTTTGTGTGCCTTAATGTGTGTGTGTGTGTGTGTGTGCGAGTTTCGATTGCAGAGCATTGTGAAAACTAATCTCTGTCGTTTCCCTCAGGTGACTTTGGAACAACCACTAATTGGTCACACACACATGCATCTGTGCACACACACATGCATCTGTGCACGCATGCACGCACGCACACACACACGCACACACACTCAGACAGACATCTATCTGATAGAAAGATTTTGGCTCTGGTAAATTCACGGGTTACTGAGCTGAAGCTCCTTGTGCAGGTTTGCAGAAGTTCTCATAGCGCTGGATGACAAAACCTACAAGGATGTCACCTTCTCACTCGTCAGATACGGGGTGAGGAGGACAAATAAATTATGTAGTTTCTGATAAAATTTGTTTTTTCAAGCAACAGTAACACTTTGCCTGTTTCTAGTCTGTATGCTAAGCTAAGTTAACGGTCTCCTGACTGTAGCTTCATAATTAATGGACATACATGAGTGATATTAATCATTTAATCTAACTATGGCTGAGCAAGTGACTTCCTTGTTTATTTTTCTATCTTTATCTAATTTCACCAGGTGACAAACTTGATGCTTGAATGTTTTTGCTTTTGAATCTCAGGTTTTTTGGGGAGTCATGTCTCAGGTAAAGTCTCATAGCATTTTAGTAGTCTCAGTCACCAAGTCTAGCAGAGCTTGGGCTCAAACACATAAGTCCAAATGGTTCCCAATTAGGGATGGGATAATAAAGGGTTTTGTCGAAAAAAAACACTAATTTGATGGTGGTCAATTGCTTTTTTTGGGATATTTGTGAATATCCTCATGTGAGCGAATTGAAAAAGCTGTCTAACTTGCTATCATGGCAGAAAAGTGAAAGAAAATACATGAATTATCATGTACAAAAGAACAGATTCACACATTTCTTTTAAAATGTATCCTTATTTATGCAGGGGAACCTTATCATTTATGATTAACTTGTCTAAGATTGTTTGATTTTGTATTTGTGTCCTCACTGTGATGGAAAAACATTTTCTTAACAAAATGTGAGGTAAAGTGATTCCAGTATGTTTAGAGTCTTTGGATAATATCGTGAATCCCAATTATTCTGTCCAGGATAATAGTGACATCTTTTTCATATCGTCACATGCTTATTCCCAATAAAGTAAACATGAGAGGAATTTCATTTGAGGCTTCAGGTCTAGACAAAGTAACCACTGTACCCTGTAGTTTAAAATGAAATATCCCCCCCCTGAAATGAGGTAACATCACCAACGATACATCAGAAATGCCATTTGCTTATCAACAGTCATAGGGCAGAATTGCAGACGTGGCACTTCGACCATGGGCTGAACTCTATCTCCTGCCGGCCTCTGCTACAGACCTGCCTGGTAAAAGCCATGAATCACTGCTCCGTGCACTATTACCCTCCCTCACCCTGCGTCTCCCCCAGGCAATTTCTGTAAATAACAATGAATTCTTAGTCAACTCGTCTGGAATGTGTTTGTTATATAAGCGGCAGCTGGGAGCCTCTCAGCCCGGAGTGCCATAATCACGCCCCCAGCCAGCCCACTGAGAACCATATAAGTGAGACGGTTTGTTTGCACACGATGGAATGTGAGGAGGTTTTCTGTCCGGAGAGACAATCTAGCTCAATAAGTGGTGAGATATGCATATACAGTACATCCAGCAGGGAGAAAATCAGCTTTTATAAAGCAGTGTACAGAATAAAGACAGTGGTGCATCGATGGTACATATCACTGCATCGCTGCATCCACTGGCAATGGCCCAAAATTAGACAATGTTGACAGCCTTGGCAGCGTGGCACAACATAGGCCGTAATCACGCCATCTGTATCCAGCTAGCTGCGATATTTGTGTAGCGGTGGGACACTAAGGTAGCGATGCTACTTCATGAGCACCTGCTAACGTTTAGCCAACAAGGCAATGAAGGCAGCCAAGACTGCAAAAGCACTGCGCTCTTCTTCCCCCTCTCTGTTTGCAGCGGAGAGGCGGGCCCGGGGTCTCGCTGCCTCTGTCTCTCCCCTCGGAAACACACAGACAACTGATTCTAGCCATAGCTAAGACTCTTTTTCAATTTTCCGACACATATCGGTTAATCTATACACCCTTAGTTTCCAACACTGTCATCCGGAAATCACAGAAGGTGACTTCTCTGTGGGGTCCTTAAGGTTGTCAGACACTTATAATAACAATCTGAGCCTGTGAGTGGCAAAAAAAGCCCCTTGAGTGAAAGTACATTCACTTTAAGGAGTTGCTCAGAGCGATTATATTGCAGCCTACTATTACTCCTACAATCCTGGACCAATTTCTAAAATTGCCCACATTTCTCACTATGAAAGGAAAGCATGGGTAGATGGGGTCCAAGTTGAAAAATACAACCATTGCTTCACATGTGCATCTTCATTTTTACCCCTCAGTTCACAGATCTGTGAAAAGGTTATTTGGGAGAATCATCACAAGAAGAAAGCCTCAAACTTTCTTAAATAACACCTGAGTGAAGTTTACAAATAGTTGAAATTAGACTAGCAGAACAGAAATGTACATGGCTAAGGGTCCACGGCTGAGGATTTAAGTGGGTGTAGGGGAAGGTTATGCTCCACAACCCTTTTAACAGACAGGTACTGATATATTCTCTTTTCATTCGCCAAACCTACCCTCTATCTGTCCATCCATCCATCCCATTATCCCTCGGCTGAGTGCAGAGGGGTTAACAAAGTGTGCCTGCAGGATGGTAAGGCATGAAGTACTCCACACTTCGTTGAGTCTACATGTTTTTAGACGTGTCATCTTTCATCTACATCTCCTATCCATCCATCTCTTCTTCTGATAGGGTGGACTTCAAAGTCTGTATATTCAATAAAGGTTAAAATGGTTACCAGAGCAGAAGGGCATGGGGGCACTCCACATGCCGTTGAGCTGACAAGTCCTGGATGATTCTCCTTTCAAATGTCTTCCACCCAGACAGGAGTATCGAGCTGTTGAACCGAATGTAAACTTATCTCCGCTCAGCACACCGTTAGGGGGAGAGCCGGGATGACCACAATCTACAACTAGAGACCAAAAGAGAGAGAGAGAGAGGCAGAGAAATGAAGGAAGGGTAGACAGCTCGTTTAAACTAAACACAGCTTTGTGAGAAGAGGGGTTACTTTCAAGGCCAAGGAACACATCATTAACCGGAATGATGAGAAGTCTGTCGTCTTCGTCTGGAATCAAGGACCCATTCTCTCAGAAAATTACTGAGAAGTTTGAGTGATTAATCTGCCACTGTTATCATCGTAGGCTTAGCAATAGTTACTAAGGGGCGTGGGGCTTAGCAAACACTCAACTGAACTATATATCTCTTGCCCCATTCACTCTGAGGTCAAACAGAGAGAAAAAGAAGGATTAAACTGACCTATACATTCAGGTAGCGGTTTGTCCCACTGTCCAGTAGGTTGACAGGTCAGTACAGGTGATCCAAACAGGTAATACCCCGGGTTACAGTCGTAGAAAACCACAGTGCCAAAGGTAAAGTTCCCATGCTCTATTTTACTCTGGCGGATGGAGTTGGCTGGGATACCTGGATCAGAGCAATTGACCACTATACACAGAGAGACACAGAGACGGACACGCACAAATACACAAAAGGAGAGAAAAGTATGTGTTATTTGGCATGAACCAGTGAGGGGTATGTCTCTTCCCCCTCTTGCTTGTTTCCAGTGTTTTGCACTGGGATTAAAGCTCTATAAAATAATATAGGGCATAATAAGGAGGTTGCGACGAAGACAGTAAGAACTTATTAGGGTTGGTGTTTAAAAGGATAAATATGGGAAACGTTATGTGATGTTATGATGGAGGCAGGTTTGTGTGTCCTGGATCCAGTGCCCATGAGGTGTAATGGCTCGCAATCAGTACGTTGCATTGTTAATTTTCCACAATTGGCTGGCACTTCGATGTGTAAACTGGGCAGGTCGCCGATCGCTTGTGTACAAACTTGTAAGCGAAGCAACCCTTGTTGCTGAGATTGTTGGAGAACAATCAGGGCTTGAGATTTATGTTTCACTGAAAACAAGAAGTTTCCCATGCAGGAGGCTGGAGCCAGGAGGGATGTAGAGTATTTAATCTACCTCTAACTTCATTAGGATAAATAAAGGAAAAGAGTGACTGGGCTGAAATGAAACGGGTAGGGGTAAAGAGGGATGGCTGCTATGGGAAATTGCATTAAGAGTAAATAAAGAAAAGAGTTGAGGTGAGGTGGTATTAAAGGTTAGGGATAAATAAGGTTAGGGGTGAATACACTTAACTTTTCTCCCCACCTTTACATGTTGGGGGCGGGTGGCTCCACTGGCGGTTGGCCTGACACTGAGCACGTGCGGGCCCCTCCATTTCATAACCCCTATTGCAAATGAAGCTGACCACATTGTTGAGGTTGAAGCCATTTCCCACCGTACGACCATATATGGGACTTCCTGGATGGCCGCAGCTGATCGCTATAGGGAAGACAGAGTGAATCATGGGTATTAACGTGAATACACATTTCTCATGACATTTATTACAATACTTTGAGCTTGCTCATGACATATTAGCACACGTAAAATGATTATGCTGGTGTCATATCTATGTATTGTACATATTTTGGGCTTTTCATAACCCATTGCCTCATTTTCTCAGAACGTCCAATTTGGTCAAATGTCCTCTTGCTATGAAAGCTACACAAACATATGATTATAAAGCAGACATGAAAATCAGCGGCCATTCAGTTCTTTGTCTTGAAGCATGAGAAGCACAGATTAGTTCAAAATAGCAATGTCTTTCATGGAGTAATTCAGAAATATTTATGAGAATGTCAAATGACATAGACGTCATAGCTGGTATTCTCGATTTAGGGTCATTATTTTGGAAATATTAGGTCTCCGAATCATATCTGTCAGCATTGAGTGTCCTCTGTTTGCCATTGTGCATCATAAGTATTCATCCTGTTAACTTCTCTCACCGGAGCTACTTAGAAGTTTGTGTGTGTCCCTTGTCCTCATTGTGCTGACAATAGAGTTTTGATGTTTGAGTAAACAGACAGTTCACAGTTACTGCCAGCCCCTCATTCAGTTTCACCAAATGAAAAGAAATTATGGAAGACACAGACCAGATGGATGGAAAGGTGAACAGAAAAGAGGAGAAAACAAGAGTATAGAGCCGAAGCGAGAGCACTAGACAAGTTGATAAAGACAAAAGAAGGCAGGAAATGGAAGAAGCCGCTGCCTTTTTCACTTGATCAGAGGGAATCAGAAGTTTGTTTGCTTGCCTAATATACAAATTTATCTGACACCATCAGCATGCCCTGCAGCTACACACACACACACGCACACACACGCACACCATCAGTCTGTAAGTCTCATCACCATTCTGTGTTTGTGTTTCTAAACAAGAGCCTCTCATTTCCATAATTACAGTATAATTTGGCTGTAAAATGATTTCCCTCAATAACTTCTGCATGAATAACCTCAATAAAAACAGCATAGCACAGAAACACCAGATACACAGACGGATGCACACACTATCATAAACACATAGACACAGATGCATGCCATGCCCAAACACGCATACACACACAAGAACATACTGCCTGATATGAAGTCTTTTTTTATTGAGTATTTCTTTTTCTTTCGGGGTCGTAGTAAAAAAACGATTTCACGGTCAATTCCAACTCCCTATCACGCCCCTGCTACTCCAGAAATGCTGCCACCATGTCACCACCTCCGCCTTTTAAACATGGTTTTAATTTAGTGAACTGTCTCTTTTGGCTTGCGATGGCAGTCCTCATCACCACCTTAGCTGTGCCCAGTTTCTGCCTGAAAACGCTCAATGATGCTCACAGTAAGTGTCCAATTTTAGACGATTTTCAGTGTAGCCTGGAAATGTCAGAGCCTTCTGCTTTATCCTCAAGCCCAGCTATTTATCTCATCCAAACCATAAAGGCAGTTGGGTCCCTCTGGCCCTTTATATAAGACTTTTGGTGTGAATCTGCAGAACCTCAGGACTATTGGGTGAATACATCCAGGGATATTTAAAACAAACCTCATGTTGGCTTTACTCAATATGTAATCACTTTTGAACAAAAAGGTCCATGGTTTAATTTTGACTTTTCAACCCATGACTGAAATTTGACTGGGGTTTATCAGTTTTGCCAGACTAACTCCCTTGGTGGAGCCATTGGTGCTGTGTTCGTAAACATTGTTAAAGGTAGCCAGAAAGCTAGTCTTACATACTGCTGGACTGATTAGCCTAATATTTTTTGTGCTCATATAAATGTGTGCTCAAGGACTAGGGATGCACAAATATTGACACCGGATCAGATAGCGGGCCAATCAAACTCAAATAGATGGAGCGGGTATCCCATACCCGCTCCATCTATTTGACAATGTGGCCAATCGATACAATTCAATTTTGTTTATAGATGCATACATTTTATTCTGGGACTTTAATTCCTGTTTAAGCTTTGATCATTTGAACTGTAAATCCTGTATATTTTGATGATTTTCTAGGGTTAGGGTAATTGTGGTTTGTATTAATTCAATCAAACATTTAAGCCGTGGTTGTTGCAGACACACCTGGCACAGATATGCACTCTACTGAGTACACTTCATGGTTACAAACTTTTCTGATTATACCACTGTAACACAACCGAGACGATATCTCTGGTTCTGCTGCATCAATTGTTTTTAAGCGTTTATCGTGAGTGCGATAATATTAATATCAATACTAAAGAGTGGAATGCTAAATCAGTACAGTATTTCAATCAAAAGTGACACAAAATGATGGTAAAAAACATCTATCCTGTTTTTTTCTTTTCTGCATGACGTGTATTCTGCATCACAACGTCACATTCTGCAGGTGTGCAATGACAAGAAACCCTGCCTTCAAATGTAATGTGATGTTACAATTTAAATTGTAAAGATAACATTGTGAAGCTCTGACTGCCTGTTTAGAGTTTCCATTTAGAGTTTGCACTGCGACCAGTTTTAAATCAGTTTTAAAAGTAATGAAACAATTATATTGTACACACACACACACACACACACACACACACACACACACACACACACACACACACACACACACACACACACACACACACACACACACACACACACACACACACACACACACACACACACACACACACACACACACACACACACACTCAATCACACATACTTGGGAGGGTAGTTTCCGGTAGGCATTCCCTAAATAATTATTTTTGTTTTCACTGAACCATGACAAAGATATTACTTCAGGTGATTTGTTGATGATGTGGTTGATCAGGCTCCACTCTTGATTTAGTTATTTCCCATCAACTGAGTCGACCTCATCTTGCTATAAAGGTAGTATTTGTCAATGACCATTAATATACTGTTTATTTCTTTTCTAATTTCAAAGCAGCAAGTAAACATCTATATGATCGAGTCTCTTTCTTCAGTATCAATGACGAAAAACCATATCGAACTTTGACTTTTATCATATTACACTCACATTATTACTTCTAGCAGTATTACTGGAAACTGGTATTTTTTTTTTATGGTTACCGAGACCATTTTCCTCTTTTGGCTGATTACAAATATAACAAAAAGTAAATCTTAATTGGTCAAAGATCAGGCATTTTTGTATTCGTAGTATGCCTCCAAACTGATTTGTACGACGTATGATATTGATTCTGCAACTCCACAGGCAAATAAAACATCCCAAATGAAAATGAAAATGCTGAGCACGTTATCAAAACCTCGTACTCAAATTGCCTCTATTTGAAAACACTCCACTTTCTTGATTTGGTATCTATCAGCTAGTGGAAGTTATCATAACACACCATGCCATTCAAGCACCCTCCAGATCCACACTTTGGCCTCAGACAGCAATTTCTATTTCTCCTTTGCATGCACACACACACATGCATACAAAAACTCAGACTAGTTTTGATTGTAGGTGATTTTCCCCTTCCTGTTTTCATCCTAAACAGGAACAAATATAGAGGACTTTGGATTTGTGTCACAAACCCACACCACTGTCCATTCGACCATGTTTCTGCATTACAAACCTTTCATTCATTCTTAGTTTAAATTTCGATGAAAAGACAGGCAGCCGTCTAGACCACAAGCTGTCCATGAGACATATAAGTGCAGCAGAGGGTTTGGGTTCATCTTATAGCTGAGGTGAATCTTTAGTGAGAATTAAATGTGTGTTTTCCTTACGTATGCAGACGGGTAGCTGTCCAGACCACTGGTTGTCTTGGAGACAGATGCGAACAGATGAGCCTATTAGTCGAAAGCCGGGCAGACACTGATACACGACCGTATCACGGTAACCAAAGTTCTCTCCGATCACCTGGCCGTTCACAATGCCTTCTGGGATTCCACAGTGACCAGCTGAAAGACACAGACAGACATGCAGAGGACTCAGACCATAGGTAACACTGTCTCTGTGGTTAAGACTCGGTATGAGGCTCAGGCTATCTGCCTTTCAACACTGTTAGCCAGGAAGCTGCTTCTGCAACCCTGGAAATCTGAAAAAGTTCCTAAATGTGATAGTTGGCGAAGGTTAGCTCGGGAACGTACTACACCTGGAGAGAATTAGGTACATTTTGTCAACTATTAATCTGATGACTTAAAGTCAACTTAAGTCAACTGTAACTGAGCTGCTGTCTATACATGTCTATGTTTGTCAAAAACCTCTGACAGGATATTTGCAATGTCCTTCGTAAGACCACCAGCGCTGTGAAGATACTATTGATGTTACACTTACTTTTCGTAAATGTCTCCTTTCATTACCAGTTTTAGTATCTACACTGTATCTATCTCACATGTTTCTGAATTATTTCATGTCTTAGCTTTCCTATATCGAGCTTAGACTGCGATTTTGATTTTCAAACAAATGTTGTGTTGTGTTGTCGTCTTTTCTTGCTTTTATTTACTTTTGTCGTGGCCGAGAGCTAGCTTGCAAATATTTCTAAATTATGCTAAACCTTACAGTCTTGTTGTATCCATGAGATGCATTCTCTGGGTTATTTTCAAAGATATAAAGAGCATATCAGCAAAACACTAACATTTTAAGTAGGCCTGGGAGTTTTGAACAAACCTTGAGGGTTGAAAATCTCCTTGGAGACAGTTTGCTTCCTCCATATGGGATATTTTATTTGGGCCAATCGTTAAACATCTGCTGAAACCTTTTGCAAGCCTGTAAAAATAGGCAATGGCAGCATGAGACCTGGTTTATCCTGTCTGTGAGACGTGTGACTCTAAGCAAACTCATGAAACATCAAAGTGGGAGCCCAACAAGCACTCCCATCATCACAAAATATTAGGAGCTCTGTCTTAAATTGGATCATCTGTTATTTTTGGTGATTGCTCCGATGGTCACTTGACCCCTGCAACATTTTCACAGCTGTGTGTTACTGTTCTTTGCAATACCTCCGACAGCATCTACAGGAAAATAATCAAACGATACCTGGTAACAGAGAACCAAACAGGATTCGTGAGCCTCTTTATTCCCTCATTAGATTAATTCCCAGAGGTCTGATGCAAATTGTTTTAGGTAAATGTGTATTTACATGCTATGTAGCCTACATATTTTAATCATATACCAATTTGAATGTATAGGCCGATACCTCCAAAACTGTTCTTTCGAGGTTAATTATGAATTGTGATGTAAGAAATATTAGTAGTATATTAATATTGAGTCTCTCAGCTCTGACCATCAGATTTGTTTTAAGTAAGCAAAACAAGTACAGTGAAGCCAGTTTTGTTTTAAAGAGTAATAAGAAAAGATATTGAATGAAGATGCTGTTCATAGCATTTTTTTTTAGGGCTATCTATCTATTTATTGTTTGACAGAATCATGCCTCCTTATCAGTCTAGGTTAAGTTTCATTGAACTGTTTCGTTATAAATCGCTTCTCATATCCCCCCTCAGCCTGTGAAGTATTCTGGGAAGCGCTGTTTCTACCGAGGCTTCATGGAGAAGTGACAGCGCCATGTCATAACATCTGTTACCTCTGGCTGGCACACTGACAGAAGAAAGTAGCTGTGTTTTTTTTTTTGTCTGGCTTATTTATATGAAAAAAGAACATTCAAACTGACTTTGGTTAGTGCAGAGCAGAAGCTTGTGATAGTCTCGCTTGGTGAGGTGGCCGAGGCCAGAGGGGAGCAGCTGTGCAGCCAGACAAGAGGTGCAGGGCACAGACACTACAGTGCTTACCTTTGAAACCTGTCCTCATTAGAGTGACTTGAAAATCACAGCTTTCAAACTCCCTTTCTAATGGTCAACTTTTGTGTGTGTGTGTGTGTTAATATCCCGAATACGTCCTCTCAGTCAGAAAATGACAGCGTCTAGATATACTGCACTATATATTACAGTATACACAATACATATACACAGAATACATCACTAGTAGTTATGTACCAAAACATCTTGTTTCCATTCCACTCCAAAGCCCAGATGACAGGCACTCTCTGACAGCTGACCCCACCAGCATGAACCCAGCGTCGCAGGTAAAGATGGCCGTAGCGCCAAATGTTGTCTGAGTACCAATCTTCTTCCCACTGGGTGGAGATGGCAGCTCACCGCATGATATAACTGAAAACAACAAGCAGACACTAGCAGTTTAAAAAAACATTTGTGCACCAATTTAGTAATTGAAGTTATTTGAGGAGTTAGTAGAGCTCTTTGATTTCAGTGCTGAATGCTGCTTTCACCGGCGAGGAGTTAATCACACAAATTTGGTGCCAATATAGTTGTTTTTTTTAGAAACTAGAAACTTTTCTGGTGAAGAAAATAACAGTACTTTTTCAAATGTCACAGAATTATTTTAAGAATAAATAACATTGATTTCAAATGTCAAGGTATCCCCAGATGTCAAAAAACAGATGACAAGAATGTCAAGGCCACACTTTCTGGTTAGAGCATGAATTGGAATAATGGAATGATTACAGTGAATATTTTTTCAAAAGCTTTTAGCCTTACAAAATGTATACATGAAATAATCCCAAAAATATGCTGTTATTTGTTTAATCTGTGCAAAAACCAAAGTGTAAAATAAAACAGGGGATTTTAGTGCTGGACTATTTCTTGGCTTGGATTTTTCATATGCAAGATTAAATTATTGTCGTTATTATCGACAGTAAATGGCAAGTGTGTGTAGCCTAAATACACAAAAGGTTTACATTACTTAAATTGGCTCATTAAGATTAGATTTGGTTAATTGGGACGATTCTAATACCTACAAAGTCAGATGAGTATAATGGCCGGCTCATTGCTGATATTGTTTTTGAGTGGCAGCTCAACCCTCGTATGTCTTTGCTACTCACCCTGGCAGTGCGGCCTCTCATTTCTCCAGCTCCACACGCCAGTCGGTAAGCACTGGATGTGGGCGGGGCCCAATCTGTAGTATCCCGGGTCGCAGGTGAACACAATGCGAGTTCGGTATTCGTAATGTGAGCCGTTGACAATCCTCCAGCGGCCGTGCTCTAAAGAAAATGACCCGATGCTGGAGCACACCACCACTACAGAGACAGACGGTGTGAGGAGAAAGCAAAACCACTTACAATTTGTTTTCATTTAAATAACACAATTACCATTTCAACATAGTGTCAGATATTAAAAAGCCGGCTGAGAGTGGGGCCAAACCCCTGTAAGATATCACACAGGTGCACAAAAATTACTCAATTTAAATAACAATGTCCTGACCAAAAAAATGTCTGCCACGCATATCGGTAATTATATGTTGTAGTATATCCATCTTACCCATCAGGAGATGATTTTCGTATTGTTATTGATTTAATTCAGGCATGTCCAAAGTCCGGCCCGCGGGCCAGTCACGGCTTCTGTCTTAAAATGCATTATTTATGGCCCGCCAGCACAGTCAAAACGGAATGAATAAATCATACAAATTCAACATGCAATTCCTCTTTCTACCTCATGGTGGCAGCACCACTCTGTAACTGTCTGGCTGTTTGAAATTGGCTCTGACCCTTGAACTGTCATGGCTACGTCAAGTAAAAAAAGGAAAGTCGATAATGAGGGCCGCCGCTTCCAGGAGAGGTGGAGATCGCAATATTTTTTTCACCGAAAACCGAAACAACTGTGTCTGCCTAATTAGTCATGAGACTGTTGCCTTGTTTAAGGAATATAATGTAAAGAGACACTACGAGACCAAACATGCTAATGCTACAACAAGCTATCAGAGCGACCGTGCTAGAAAAGTGAAGCAACTCCAAGATAACTTGGCCACACAGCAGCGGTCCTTTTCACATGAAAACATCATCAAAGTAAGCTACCAAGTGGCCATGCTAACTGCTAAACATGACAAACCTTTTACGGAAGGTGAGTTTATCAAAGACCGTGTTATGAAAATAGCGGAAAACATAATTGCCCCGAGAAGAAGACCGAGTTTTTTTCGTTAGCCTGTTTCATGTGTGTTGAACTTAAATATGAGACAACTTTTCATTACCCTCACTAAGTCATATTTAAGATTGTCTTGAGGTGAGAACATTGATCGGTTTCTATGTAATCAACCTGACAAAATTACGTTCTTGTGGGAAGAAAAGGCAACACTGTAGCTTCTTTACATTCTAATAGAATGTAAAGAAGTTACATTGTATCAGAATGTAACTTCTTTACATTCTAATAGAATGTAAAGAAGTTACATTGTATCAGAATGTAACTTCTTTACATTCTAATAGAATGTAAAGAAGTTACATTGTATCAGAATGTAGTTTCTTTACATTCTAATAGAATGTAAAGAAGCTACATTGTATAGAATGATTCTATTGAAGTTATTCCTTTTTTAAATGTTTTAGATGAGTCACTAATCACTTTAAAATAGTGATTATAGCTGCTTACATTTGGTTACATTGCTATTTGCTGTCATTGAAAATAAAATGATTAAATAACAATGTATGCATAGGCTACTTGTATTGTTTAAAATAATGTCATTATTACATTACCAAATCTGGCCCTCTTTGAAAAAAGTTTGGACACCCCTGATTTAATTGATCTATTGTAGTATTTATATGAAAGCTGGAGAGCAAAACTTCTTCCTGTCTGTTAGTTGAGGGAGCAGCAACTCAATAGTTGTATAGTAAGGGTGGAAGCTATATCGAAAAAAAATCCTATGACGAAGAAAAGTTGCTAAATTGCAGGAATAAACTACAAAAATATTGCAGGGTAAGACTTAAAGAGAGCGCTCCATGGGGGTGGGGGGAGATGCGGCGAGCTCACCTGCAGGCATACATGCACCACTGCGCCAGATACCACAACACTGGTACACTGCAAAATACAAAGAGCTTTCCATGGTAGCGATAGGCCTAATTAGCATTGTGTGAACTCATTTGGCGAGGGCTTGAATGTGACAGACGTTCATTTATATGTAAAAGTTCTGCACTCCAGCTCTAAATACTTGTGTTTTTTTGTAAATGACACAATAAAAATCTCCTTGGAGTTTGGTATTTACTTCAATACAGTGCTATTAAAAGTCCAAATTTGTAATATTATCAGTTTTGGTATTTATACTGTTGATATTTCACTAACATCTATGTGTTACTAACCAGAACATCGCGGTATCTTATTGTGGTTGCTCCATGTGCCATCAGGCTGACAGATGGCTGACGTCAGTTCCTTGCTGGAGAGTCTGAACCCGTCGTTACAAAAATAGGAAACTCTTGTTCCGACAGAGTAGTCGGCTGTTAAAACGCCGCCATTTATGGGAGCCTTGGGTGCCCCGCAAGAGACAGCTATGGGAGGACAGATACACGGTGGTTAAGAAGACAACATGCAAACAGACACACACAGAAAGCCCTAATGCACACTTATGTCTGTCAGATAGGCACGCTTGATGTGTACTTTGTTTGAAAGGTTTCTGCTGTGTATTGTGCATAAACAAGCTCACAGCTTCTTCAATGAAGCCATCAAACTAAAAATATACAATCAACAGACGCTTGATGTTCAGTTCCAAACCAATTCCAAGGAAATACATCCGTCTTGCTGAAATTGCCGCTTCACAGTCCATACTGGTTTAAAATAGACTGGTTTGTAGAGCACTGCACCGTGTAATTACACAGTGTCGGCAATCTGCTATACATCCTTCATTTGACTTTCTATCGATACCAGCTACGAACTGGGACTTCCTTCGCTCATTTGATGTGTGGGAAAAGACAAGCGAGCTAGTGCAAAATAAAATAGTCATCTAGTCTTTGTAGAACACATTGCAGTATGTTCTGAAAATACACTTATAAAGAGAACGAAAGAGAAAGAAAATGTTACGGAAACCGTTACAGGAAAAAATTTTTTTTTCTTTTTTCTATTTTACCAAAGGGATATAAATTATATGTGGCATTCGCAATTATATGAATATTGCATCCGGCATTTTTCTCACTTGAATGTGCAATATGTTATACTTCAGCTTAGCTTCAAATATACACACATTCCACGCAAAGACGAAGCAACACACCTTGGCACGCAGGTACCGGAGAGTCCCACGCGTGGTAGCCGAGCGACGTGCGGCGGCAGGTTGCTGTGGCGTTGCCTATGAGACGGTAACCGCGGTCGCAAGCCCAGCGCACCACGCTGTTAACATGGCCGCCGCTCTGAGAGGAGATAGAGCCGTGGAGCGGAGAGTCTGGGGTCGAGCAGTACAGAGCTGGAGTGGTGGAAGCACAATTGAAGAAACAAAGTTTTGAAATGACTTCGCATTGGGTGGTTACTCTCTATGACGCCCACATCTATAATTTATCATAAACATACTAAAAATAATACAATGCATTATAATCATGTCCCTTCTACTTTTTAATATTGCTGTACAGTACTAGTCTATAACCATGCCATAGCTAACAGTACTATTGTCACCATATTATTGTATTATTGTGTCGTTACTTAATCTAGAAGACCAAATGTTGTTGCCTTCAGATCAATGCTGTGATAAACACAGAAAGTATGCGTGCATGCATGCAGGTGGTGTACAATATTATAACCATTACCAGTCCTTTAATCAAAGTCTTACTGCCATTTCAGTTTGTGATCATTTCCTAAAACTCTCAATACAATAGAGAGTCTCTACTGTATCTATGAAACAATAGGAGGCACAGCCAAAATGAACAAATGGCAAATGCATCTTGTTTGTGAGTGATTTACACATTTTACTGATCAAAATTATGGCTTTGATTATGCATTTTAAACAACGCTATTAGAGGCATGATATGGAGTAGGTCATCACTCCAAGTACAATATCTTTAACACTTGTTAAAACAAACTAAACAAAGACGTTCTGTGAGCAGAATTATTAATGATCTTGATTATTGGTAATTAAACCTTTTCAGAACGTCTTAAAAATGAGATCTATCCAACATGCTGTTTAAATGCTAAATAATAAGTCTGTCCCACCAGAGCGTTTTCATCACACAATCAATGAGTAGAGTTACAGCAGATGTCAGACATACCAGAACACACTGCCTACGAGTCAATGGCATAATGCAAATTTAATGAAATATTTTTACACCAAGAAACATTAATGCTTTACTTCAGACAATATTGGCAGCTGTGGGCAAAACAAGAGGGAACCCTGCTACAAACACCCCATGACAACAAGTTAAGCAGAGTCTATTTGTTAATAGATTTTTCTCCCTCTGTCTCTGTATCTATACCAGTAGATAAAAGGTGTCATAAAATGATGTCAGTAGTTCATATGATTCGTTGCCACTAGCAGTTTCATCATGTTCCTCAGTCATAGCATAACAAGATAACCCAGGCCAGGGTCCAGTTAGATGTTGACTTGGGCAAGTTGCCTGGTTTGCATCTCTTCAAATTGGACAAGGGCCCAACCATAAGTTCTTAATTGGCCTAATTTATTAGTGATGAGCCTCTTTTTTAACGTCCCGCTGGACTGTCACTGGCTCAGTCTCATCCGTGTTGTGGCTTTTTAAAATCAAAATGTACAGTTGTAGCGATTCTAATCCAATACACTTTTTTTTTTAATTCAGCGAATACGTCCTCATGGTCCACTAGCTGTTCATTCAGTGTTCATACACAGCCCTGGCTCTATGAATGGGAAACAAACAACTTGTCTCTGACCGAGCCACGCGACACTATTCCAGCCAATCAGCAACCGAGGGCTCTCGCACAGGACAGGGGAGAGCCCATGGATGTATAAAGAGAAAGGCAGTTAAAGAGGATTGATTAATCTGGAGGGGGGTATTTGTTTGGGTGTTCTGTTCAAATATCAACAATCTTTGTCCAGAATTTCTGTCGCCAACTGTCAGAGTTAGTGAAGGAGTTTTGTTCCTTTTAGTCTGTTTTACTTTCGGCGGAAACACAGAATCAGCGCCGGCAACGGTTTGTCAGTGATTTCTAATTAAAGCTCTCGGCTGGTATCATCGAACTGGCATGTACTGTTGGCAAAGCAGCCAGCTGACGATATCTCATTAGCTCCAGTTCAGGCTCTTTCCCCTTGTAGTCGTTTTAAAATTGATGGCTGCTTCAGTCACACGGGTTTTATAAAATGAAATACCCGTTTATCTTGTTTTAATGACGAGTAAGTAAGCTTCTTCTTAAAACAAAGGAAGATGGTGTGACGTAATAACGAGAAAACATTTATTATAACGTGAGAATTACATTTTTTACTCTTTGATTACAAACTGAGCATGTTTTTTTTTTCTCACAGTGGATGCAGGAGGAAGTTGTCACAAACTGGCCTGATTGCCCAAGTAAAAAAAAAAAACAAATAAAAAAACAATATTAAAGTTGAACCATGATATTAGTAGGCTTACAACATATGCTTAACAATCCTTGCAGGTGCTCACATTAATCACAGCTACCAAAGAAGGTTACTGAGTGCGAGAGTCCTGGGAGGCTTTTCTGTTATTATTCAGCGTATAATTCATCATCCAGACCAGTGGTGATTTAAAGGTTAAAGAAGCAGCCTTCTGACGAGACGGTATGAAGTGAAATAGCAAACTAAAAAAGGTAATACAGTATCCGCCCCTTAAATGTCAAAAAATGCCCTTGAATAAAGGCACTCAAGCCTCATTACCCAAGTGAAGGTGCTTCATGCCCAACAGTCCAATGTTGTACTTAGCAGGCCCAGGTGAAAATGCAAAGATTGCTTTGAAACAGCATCTGCGCTCATGAAGCTTTCCTCGAATGAATAACAGTTAACCATAATGCACTTTGGTAAACCGCTTTAGGAGACAGACAGAAGTGAGGCAGAAAAGTAAGCTGATGATGGAGTAACCTTTTATTTCATCAACTTTCTTGTATATTCCCTGTTCTTGAAAACCACTCTTTTCTCTTAAAAAAATCCCAAATTGAGAACCTTTCTCAATCGACACAGATTTCTCCAAGTGCTCTTTCACTCAGAGTGTCTCTCCGTCTTTCTGTCTGTCTCTTGTATCCATGCATTATGATGATATCAAGTAGTAGTAAAATAAAGTTGGGATACATACTTTGGTACTCACCAACATAGTGCATTTTGAAGCCTCTCTTGTTTGTGCCATGGTCCGAAGACCAGCGGACCAGGAACTGGTGACCAGAGGTTGTGAGGTTAAAGGGTGCTGGCAGGTCTCCGCTCAGAGTTGCCAGAGTGGGACTGTTGGCTGTTGGACCTGAGAGAGATCGAGACAAAGTGAGAGGAAAAAGAGGAGGAGAGAGAGAAAGAATGAGACTGTGATTTGTTCTATTTTGGTACTTTGTATATTTGTGGCTATAACTGTTTGTCCAGTTTCCCATGGTGATCATATTTACACCTTAATGCCTTTGAGAATAACAGCGTGTCTGTGTGTGTGTGTTTTCTGCTCACATGAGGTTCTAAGAAACACTACACTTCTTAGCTGAATTCCAACTATACTGTCAGCGTGTGTGCTTTTGAGAGCTTATTAAAAATGTTCACCATCAAAAATCTCCAACACGTCAAACTCTCTCTCAGTGTGGAAACTTTCAAAGGTTATGGTGACATTGTATCCCTTTTCTACGGTGATGCTCCATGAACACATTTGGAGGTTGGGGTAGCTTTCTGGCCAACCGGGACTCAGGATGACACCTGACGAGTCATATCGCACATCATGCGCAGGGCATTGGACTATGGGCAAGAAAACAAAGAGAGAAAGCAGGTTATGCTGAACGAGTATGCAGCATTTTCTTTTTTCAACATTTTTTTAACATAAACTATTTGAAAAACAAACCAAAAACACTTAATGTGCTGCTGTGTGTACACACCTTGGCACGTTGGAGGTGATGCATCCATCTGTAGTCTTTCTCCGAGGCGACATGTTAGAATCTCGCTGCCAACCAATGAGAACCCGGGTTGACATCTGTACCTGATGATGTCACCTGAACGCAGAATAAAGATTATGAATTGTGAGAGTGTTTGGAAAGCAAAACTGAAGCAGCAAGAAGGAAACAGTTGTTGATGCAGGACGTATTACTTGCAAAGTAGTATTTATGTGGTGTTGCTACTTTTGTGCGGATAAAGGATTTGAATACTTCGTCCACCACTATGCAAAGTGTCTCATTACGAGACTGAATTTTGAAGTGAATTCACAGTAAGTATACATATTTTTATTCTTACCTGTAGTGCTGTTAATCAATCAAGATTGTTTTGGTGTAAGTTTCCTAATTTTGGAGATATTGGCTGTAGTCTGCCTTTCACTTGAATATAATGGGACATAATGGCACTCGGCTTGTGGTGCTCAAAGCGCAAACAAATATATATTTAAAAAAACAATGTCTCATTCCAGAAATCATGACTTGGTTACTCTGGATAATCCACAGACCTTTTTGTGAGCAGTTTCATGTCGGAACTATGGTAGAAAGAAAATAGTATCTATTAAGTTTATCATGCAATATAGTCCCATTATATTATAAAAGGTATGACATCCATTACGGACAAGGTGATATTTGTTCTCAAGTTGGGAACTGCAAAGTTACATGTCTCAAATTTGCTTCCTCCATCACATTGACATGTCTAGAGGCATCGCAGGCAGACAGACAACTCACCTATCTCCAATTCGCCGTCCTCCATCAGCATGTCAGCATTGGTCACTTCTGGTGGAGGCTGGCAAACCCTTAATTGGTAGGCTAGGAGAACAGACACAGCAGAGGAGGGGAGAGAGGACAAAGAGAGGGACATTACATAAGAACGTGTGCGAGGAAATGTGGTCTGTAAACCTAAGCTCAAGTGAGAAGGGGAAAAAAAAAAAAGACTTTCCACTGTTTAGAAACTGGCAAGAAGTCACTTTTTTACTGTGGATTTTACCTGCACTAATGCGTAAGATTCCAGTTGTCTGTGCGTGTAACGGCTGCCCCGACAATGACAAATCTTTAAGAAAACCAACCTGTTGTCTGTCTGTTTAATCTTGCTTGTTTCAGTTTACCTTCACTTTTTAAGTACAGATGGTCAGGCCAGCAAAGCACAGAATCAAAAACAGACCGGCTACACAGATACAGCACTGCCTTGAATCATAAAAAGGAACTGCCTTCACACCACTGAGCTGAGGGCTGTAATCAATATTACTGCATGACCATAGATCACTCACTAACGGAGAGGGAGAGAGAGAGATGGAGAGGGAGAGAGAAGGGGGGGATACAGACAGACAGACAGAGAGATGGGAGGACTAAAGAGAGAGAGGGAGAAAGGGCTGAGGGCTATAAGTCAGGATGAAATTGACTATGAAAATGAGACCTGCCAATAGTATCTGCTGCTCTCATGCATATCAAAGCCTTATGGTCTCTGTGTGTGTGCATGTCTGAGCGTGTGCATGTTTGTGTGTGTGTGTGTGTGTGTGTGAGTGTGCAGCAATGTCCGTGCTTCTGTGCGTAAGAGGAGAGGATCACTGTGAGCAGTCATTGATCTCGCTAAGCTCCAAGACCATTTTTTTTTATAGCCACTTCCCCATTCATGTCACATTGCCTTTCTCAGTCTCCCGTCCATGACAACATTATCCACCACTGCATGGTCCTCATCTCTGCATGGAGGCACTGGCATTCAGAACCTTGACCCAGAGATAAATAAACAAGACGGACAATGACCTGGATGAACATCTCCAAACAGCGGATTGAAGCCTGCTTTGGCATTTCAAACCAGAACCGCATTTTCGGCAGCTGTCTCAGATGCAAACTGTGATATTCAGATGCAAACTGATATTCAGTTGCGTCACTGAAGGACGCTGAAGAAGACATGTTGAAACGTTGTCCCTCACTTTGTCCCTTACTTTGACAACCTCCTGCTGAAGAAACTCTGGCAGGATTGGTGCTTATTCTTCCTGTATTTCTTAACAAAGAACATAAGTCATCTCGATACTATCGAATAGGGAGTCTCTCTCGCTCATATTGTGGTTACCTCTCACTCTCTCCTGTCTTTCTTGTATTCTTGTTGTATCTTCTAATAAAACAGAAGTGGCAAAACAATGCTCGCAACCACCGTCATACATGTCATCCCCTCCCCCTCTTATCCATCATCCCCCGTCACTCTCTGCTGTGCATCTTCCATTAAAACAGACATTGAAAATAAATAAATCCATCAGATGGTACTGTTCCTGTGTGAGTGTGACAGCTGACAGTTAGAACCTGCCAACCGAAATTCCTTAACAACGTGATATCTGCCTGAAAAAAAAAGAAAGCCTGTTAAAAAACAACAACAACAACAACGTGACATGTTTTCACTAAAGAGCACTGAACAGAAACTTTTGAGATGAAGCGAATAGAAGCTTTATGAGGGAGCGGGCGGGAGACGTATGCGGGTATAAGGGGAAACAGCATAAGACTTATTAGAAGCCAGTCTGGCAAATCAACCCCTTTTTCCAAAAATGCTAATTTTCAGGAACTTTGAGGACGATGAGGAATAAAAGCAGCATTTCTTGGCTGAGTTAGTTTGCTGGCATTGCATTATGATGGCTTTTAAGACATGAGGTTCATTTGAAACTATTTTCCCCCGTTATCCTTTAGTTTATCACATTATCGGATTAAATTAATGAGATTTCCACATTATCATAAACACTAGACAGTACACATATTGTAATCAAGGGACACTGCAGTATATCTACATCTTAGGCAAACTCATAATTATAAACAGCAGAGATAACAAACAACCCTGCTCCTAAATATGATGAGTTACATGTATGCAAGTTACTGTACCACCTCTGTGCAGGTGTTTTTGTTTTAAATAAATAAATAAAAGGAAAATAAAAGTAAGGGATACAGTTTCAAGCTTCTTTTTTTTTGACAAAAGACATCAGTTGGACAGTGTGCACATTTGAGCCATTATTTGAAATAATTGCGTTTATGCGGTGAGCACAGAAAAGGATGATGAGTCAAAGAAAGAAATAAAAGTGTTTTCATATGACAGTGAATGGATACGGACCAAATGGACAAAGGCTAAAGTGACTAAAGATTGATGTTTGCAGGTAGACAGGCGTAACAAGAAAAGAGACAATTGGAATTGGGGGGGCTGAGGGTTTTCATCTTAAACTGCAGTTTAGAAACAAAGGGAAATCAAAGTGCACCGAAGGACCACAGCAAAAAGATTGAAATTAAATGAAAAACTGAATGGCAGAGACAGTTTTGACACGGAGAAAGAGCAGCGCAGGACCAGAAAAAAATACAATCTCCACAACGCTGTGGAGGGAAGACTGTTTGTGTGTAAGTGTGTACGACGGCCACAAGATCTTCTAATTTTCTTGTTCTTTTCTGATTGTTTTTGACGTAATTGTTTTACTTTCCTTTTGATTGATGACTTATTTGCATGAAGACAGTACCAATTAAAACAAAATGAGAGTAATCATAATATCTAAAAGTTCATTTTTCTCTAGATTGTGTTCTGTTGTGGTTATAGTCATTTGAGTATTTTATTTTAATATAATAGCAATTCTCTTTAACAAAGAACATTGGAACTGGAGATAAACAATGGTGACAAGAAAAGGTTCATGTTCACTCAAAGGTTAAATTGAAAAATAATGAACTTTTCAGTGAAAGTCCAGTGAAACTTTTTTCTTTCTTTCTTTGTTACAAACCAATTTTCTGCTACTTTCTTTCTGACAACAGAAAAGCTGCTGCATAATACCAAAAAAAGGAGGTGCTGGATCCAAAGAAGTAAATGAAAAAAGATTGAACCCTCCGCTCACTAACAGTATAGTGTATCTACTGTTTAAGTGATTGATAGGCAAACATTCAGCTGTTCATTGTCTAAGCTTTTGGTCACTCAGACTTTTGCAACTGTTGTTTTCTTTGTGCAAAGCTACTTTTTTCCTTACAACAATAGAAACATTTATACATTGCATACAGCAATGGTAAATGGTTTCTTCTCTCTTGCATTGATCACTAATCTAAAGGATTAATTGCTATCATTTACAGTAATTGGATATACATATAGCCAGAGCAGTGGCATTAAAATAACGTCTAAGTACACTCATAGATGAAATCATATTGACAGAAGCTGTGAAATGTAGCCAAGATAATGAAAACTATCAATAGCACCACTGTGAATAATATATTGTTAATGTGGGCAATGTGACCAAGACGCCAGCGTCAGTCAGAGAGTGAAAAGTTCCAATGAAAGACCAAACTTCATGAGTCAGAACGAGTCAGAGGAAGCAGGTCTGAGTGGAACGTAATGATGATGAAGTTGAAAAGCGTCTAACACAACACCAAACAGATCGATGCTATCACTGCAGCTGCAACTAATGATAGCATTATAGGTTCGCCGCTACCTCACCACAACAAAACCAACTGCAGAGAAAGTTAATGAAAATATAGTATTTTAACTGAACAAACTCAATCAAACGTTTCCATCGCTAGCTCTGTGAACAACATTGATTATGTCGTTGGTGTCTCACCATGGTAGCTTAAGACAAAGAAGCCGGCTCCAGAGAAGTCGGAGTGGAATTTGATGAGGATGATGTTGGAAGTCGAGTAGACCGACTCCAAAGCTGTGTTCCCACTAAACTGTCCAATCTGAGGAGATGATTGGTCTGGACCATCCCTACAAAGAAACAAAGAGAGAGAGAGACACACACACACACGCATACAGAAATCTTGTGTTAAAAAGGGGGTGCTCAGAGACTAAAGACCCATAAGCAAGTGGACGTGATCTTTCTTTATAGAACAATGGGAGAGAAAAGTCAACCTAAAACACAATTCGAATAGGTTATTGCCGTCATTTCTGACAGTTAAATGGCTACTTGTGACCAGGAAATGGTTTCTCCGAGGCCACAAACACAGATAGAGGAGACTTTTCGACACTCACGAGGCAAAACCTGGAGCTGTTTCATTGACTGAGAATGGAGTCGGACATTGTGTGACAAAGTGCCGGTGCCCAGAGTGATTGTGCATGGCTATGGGCTCATCTTCCCTCTCCGAACAATCCAAACAACAATGTCACAAAGATCATTGAGACATAAAACCATCACAAACTCAGATTCCACTCTACTTACAAAAGAGCGGCTCCTTTTCGTCTCTCGACGACAACACATTTCAAAGCCCTGGCTCCCTTACTCTTGCTTTGGGATGCCCAAGTTCATCAATATTGATTGAACTGTCGTCAGTTCATAAGAATAACAAATGGGAGTCCTGTTGTAGACTTGGCTTTGGTTTACCCACTAATATCGGCCTGGCATTCATGAAAAGTTACACAATTACCACAGAAGGCAGACAGGAAGATATCTGTCAACTGGCAGGTCAGGCTCTCTGTGCAACGTCCTGAGCATATTTCACCTTTAATGGCCGAGCAACCAGCTGTCAGACTGGAACTAACCAATAGCCGGCTCATTATCAGTGATTAAAAAGTATCATCATGAAGTTAAATGGACTGATTATTTCCTGCCGTTAAGTGTTTTTGGATGAGGCCAATTATACCTGTCAGGTTACGTAAGGAATCGTCCCCTGCACCGAGTCACACTGAGTGGTTCAGAGTCAGAGAGGTCCCATTCATTACTTTCCACTGATGATTATTGCTGATGTGGACACATACTAACACTTATGAGCACATTGTCGCAACACATAGAGCACAGAGAAGGCTTTAGTGTGTGAGGTAGCACAAGGTAACATCTATGACATACATGATAATCCTTAAAGTGGAATCCTGCCGTAAGCCTCCCTGCATGAGGCCAATTAGCAGACTAACTGACTGTCAGGTTGACCGGCTGTGGACCGAGAAGACCGCTGTGAAAATCACACCTTTACCACTGACACTGTGCTCTCTACAGGGAGCCAACTTTGTGGCTGTGTGACTGAGATTGTGAGGTTTTTTTTTGTTCGCGTTTGCGTGTGGTTGCTGTCGTTTCTTTGCACACTATTTCCAACTGACAGCAGGGTCAGGAACACACTGTGCGACCAATTCACGGAGTCATCTGTGGGTGGACGGCACCTGGCTCAACAGTGTTGTGGTGTGGGACACGCAGGCTGCATATTGCAGTTATGAGCTACATTCACACAGCGAAGGGACGAAACGAGCCTCAGCACCGACGGCTGTGGAAAAACACGCTGTTGGACATCAGCGTATTTGAAGCGATTAAAAAGCTGTGCAGCTAAAGAGAGGCAGTTCTCCAATGTCCTGTGTGTTTGGATACAATATGATGGTTGACGTGATTGTGTTATACAGAATCTAACAGCGGATAACTGATTCATTGTTGACATTTAGCAAAAATGTTGAACATTCTCTGGGTTGAGGAGGATTCTTTTATATTCTCATTATATGGTAAATGGACTTGTACTTATATAGCTTTCCAGTCTTCCGACCTCTCAAAGCACTTTTACACTACATCTCATTATCCCATTTACACCCATTCATACACTAATGGATGGGGCTACCATGCAAGGTGCCACCTGCCAATCAGGACTATCATATGCCTAAAATGCCTATTTTGAGGGTTAAGTGTCTGACCCAAGGACACATCGACATGGACCAGCGGAGCCGGAGATCGAACCGCCGATCCTCTGATTGAAGGACAACCCCCCCAATACTGTGACGCTCTACCACAGAGCCACAGTGTTAGTATTCTTAGGCTCTTGGATCATTGGTCGGACAATACAAGCGATCTAAAGATGGAATCTTGGGCTTATGTGTAATTATTTACACATATAATTATTACTAATTTGCAGTGTGCAGAGAGGAATTCCTGGTCAAGACTTATCAATTAATCGAAAAATGAAGTGGTAGAGTAACAGATAGCTGAAATAATCTTTAGTTGCATCTGTTGTCAACTGTTGATTGTGAGATTGTTTCAACTTAATGATGACAAAATGAGATGATAATGCTTCTGCAGCATGTTGTTAACTTGACAGAGGTTTGGGCCAGACATTACACCTTTGGTTTTAGTTTTATCTAAATTAAAAAACCCTAAAGTAAAGTTTTCCCGTAGGGAAGCTAAACTTAACTGAATATATTGTAAGTGACCCTGATGAGAAAATATATTCAGGTCGAGAATAAGGACTGTTTTTAGCTTCCAGTGTTCAATTTCTTGGTGTATCGGTCTTTCTCAGGAGGAAGAAGATTATTAAAGTGGTTATTTGATATAGTCGGTGTTGGACACTTGTGGGTCATCCAGGTACGTGTCGGGAATAGGTGCATTGTGCTGTACTTTCTAAATAGATAACAGAGTTTTTTTGTTATAATAAGTTTAAAGAAGCTTCCTCAAGGCTGTGGAAACAGCCAAACCTGGAAATCTGGAAGGTTGACAGGGCTTACATCATGACAGACTAACAAAAGTACAAGACAGACATTTGGTCCTTCTGTGTTGGTCTAAAAATACATGGAAATGTATCAGCAGCAAACCGTGTCTCACACTGCGGTTGTTGTGTTGTTTTTCCTGCCTCGTCGTGCCTCTACATGTCTGTATGCCAGGTGATGTTCCTAAACTGTTGATGCTGCACCATGCCGTCTATTTATAGGAAGCGGGCTGTAGCTATAGAGAAGGGCAGCAACATGGCAGCCATAGAAATAGATTGTACGGCCTATTTATGGTTCTGCTTCCACCGCGCACCTGCAGATAGCGATGTAACAGGGTATCTAAGCCCGGTTTAAACATTTTGCATTGACAAAATGTCTGCTGTTGCCAATGGCTGCTCTCCCTAAGAAGAATAATGAAGAGAGAAGTCAAGGCTGGGCTGGTGGGAAGAGAAAGACGTGTTGTATATTACATATAGGGCCGACTGAGACTTGGAGATATCGTAAAGAGCTGAGAGAAGGGGTAAGAGAGACTTATGGGTAAAGAGAGACGGATAAAACAAGGAGGAAATCATGTCAGAGGAGCTTTATATTCAGGAGCGATGTCTGTAGTCATAGTAACCCTTGCATGAATTTAGCCAATTAGAGGCCAGCTCTGAAGAGATGTTAAAGAGCATGACGTCCTGTGTGAGAGAGATGGTGTGTAGCAGAAGTTCTCCACATATGTGGTACAAATTAAAAGCCTAATCAACAATTTAAAGTGAAATACATTTTGATGAGGAAGGGAAAGGTGGAAACGATGGATAAGCGGTAGCACATAGTGAGAATGAACATTTTCAATTAAGACGTGCAGTAAAGATGTGGAAAAACAAGTAAATTGGATAACTAATAAAAACTTACCAGACGGTAATGTAGTCATATATGGGCTCAGTGCTCAGTACAGTAAAATTGATGTAAATGCCGTGTCCAGGAGGAACTCTAACACTCCACACACAGTCCTGGAAGTTGGGGTATTCCTCTGGGTGACCAGGAGAGTAAATGGTTCCATTTAATGATGTGATGTTGCCACCACAGAGAGCTGTGAGACAGAATATAACAGAATATAACAGAAATACACTTAATAAATTACCAGCAAATTAGTGTTACAAATGTGAAGCTTTAGTAATTATCTGGATGACTGAGAGTGGACACGTCTCTATCAGTCACGTAATGACCACTGGATAACACCTTAATACCTTTAATAAATTGTCATTACAGTTTTATTTCAGTTCTGCAGCACAGGTATTCCTCGAGAGTGTAGACGTTGCTCATCAGGGGTGTTAATGTTACCCCGGCTGAGAGCTATGGGACGGAATATTTACAGTTTTCTAAATTAAGGGTCCTTGAATGATTGTTAGTGCTCTAAAGTCTGGCCGTAAAATAAAGAAAAAATAATAAAAATTGGATCATTGTGCAGTTACTTGTCATAAAGTTAGAATAATATCGTTTAATGATGTGACTTTATGGCTGGAAATGTATAATAGCAATGTGCCAGACACCTCTCTTATGTCCTCCTGATGTATTCTATAATCCCTTGTAATTAAGGTTCTCTCATTAATTCAATTTACAAAGGAACATGTTTAATTTTTGCTCTGACTTACAAGTTGCATATGCTTTTTTTCCCAATTAGCTCTCATGAATTATAATATCACCTGGTTATACTGGAGTAGAAATATCAAAGAAAATAATGTGCTTATTTTTACATCATCAGTATTCACAACTAATACAAGAAGGGAGCTGTAAACATGTGGAACACAGGCTTTCTGACGTCGTAAGAGGTACCTTTGTACCTTCGGTATTACCTTCACATCGCGGTAGTGGGTGATTCCAGTTCCTGCTGATTCCATGTAAACATGTGAGTGAAGCCTCTCCGATCAGAGAATATCCGGGCAGACATTCAAACGACACCGTCATCCCGACACTGAAATCTGTGCCAATCACAATGCCGTTTCGAAAAGGCCGGGGGTCTGGGCAACTCTGGAGCTGGTAGGCTTGAGAGACAATAAACCATGTTAGTCAAATTTAGAAAAACTAAAATCAACTCATTCATAGAGAGAGAGATAATAAATACATCCATTCTACCACTGAATAAACAAAAGTCTGTACTATAGAAGACTAACTCATAATTCCTCTGGATTGAGATGATCTAATGCAATCTGCAGCCAAAGTCACATATAACATGCTGGAGATCTGCAGACTTCTAGATACAAATTATTGGCGCAAACCTTTTGAAAAGCGTATCCTGCACCAAAGAAGCTCTTACTTGTTCTTTTGATGTCGCCAAATACTCTTATATTAAATCTGACAGTTTTAGTGACAGCGACTTTTCACAGCCAAAGTAACAAGAGTGACCAAAGACAGACTTGTGACTGAGAAAGCCGAACATTCGTACAAATAATAGCTGTGGAAATAATACGACTGCTTGTGTTCACATTTGTTTTTCTGTTTTAAGACACGTTGGCAGTGCCCCTGTCATAAGATAAAAGGTATTATTCAGCAGCCAGTGTAATTTGCACATTAATGGAATCAACCGGAACACATTTGGGCTATCTAGAAGATTTGTCATAATAAATATAAGTCTGCTCAAAACCTTTTTAGTGTCCGATAGAATACATACAAAACTGAACTCATCACTGATATGAATCCAAAAAAGGGCCTGGAGATGTCATTTTTTTAGCAAGTGCTTCAGGAGTCAAGAAACATTTTTATAAATGTCTTCTGGAAAAAGTACATAATTTTGTTATTAGTTGCTCCTCAGAAACAAAGTAAGAAAAGTAATTAAGTCCAAACACCAAGTTTCCACGCTTCGGTCGCTGTGTTCAGCAAAGCAAAAGCAGAGTCAGACGTCTGCTTTTGTTTTCTTTCCTTAGCAAAGTGTACACAAGATGTCGGAGAGGAGCTTGGAGAGATGCAACATGTACCTTGATATGTGCTGTGGAACCCTGGCTTGTTTTGTGAATAGTCACTGTGGAAGAAGAAGCTGGTCTGGTGGGTGGTGCTGAACAGAGGCTTGGGGATGACCGGACCGCTGAACCGGTCAATGACCGAGCCCGTCTCCAGCGTTCCACTGCGGATCTCCAAGTAATCGTGGATCGCTTCAGTGGAGAAGTTCAGAAACTGGAGATGGATACCTGAGAAAAGTTTTGACATTTAAAGTGGTTATCAGAACTTGACAGAGAGGCCGGCAATAAAAGCGTTTGCAGATGCTTCACCTGCAGACACTCATCAAAGATGTGGATAAAGGCCACCAAACACTGATTGAGTGCATGAGTGAGTGAGGAATTGAATAAATCAATCAATAAAAAACATAGATGCGTGAACAGACAGAGAAAACAGATACACAGACAAACGGAGAGAGAAGAACACACACACACTCACACACACCGTTTCTAAGTCAACTTCAAAGTTGACAGTGTATCTTACCAAAGCCGACAGGTAAGTTGACCGTCCATGTGCAGTCTAATCCACTGGGGTAGTTACCGGGGAAACCAGGACTTAGAATCACTCCACTTACATCTGTCATAGACCCCCCACACTGGGCTGGAGACACACACGAACACACACGATGCCGAAAGGGAGAAGAAAAGGGAAACAGTGGTTCAGTGTGGAAAGCAACACATGACGGAGTACTACTTCTTTTTTTTTAAGATGCTGCTGTTGACAGAACACGTGAGTATCTTCAACCTGACAGTTTGCATCATTTTGAATAACACATTGATATTCTGAGTCTTTAATAAATACCCTTCTTGAATAAATTACCATTGTGCAACTAGACACGGGTCCAGGGCTTGTTTCCTCCAGTTTGCCTCGCAGCATGCTGATACTTTGGCACACACACATACACTCTGCATGCTTATGACAGACTCTGACTTAGCTTTGCATCAGTTTAAAAGCTTAATCATATTCTGCACAGAATACTAAATAATCAGCTCATCACAGAACAGCAAATTGATCAAACGGCTTATTTTCCCAGAGAGTCAGGGTTGGAAATGGAGACTCGTTGCATCATTTCTGCAGCCCTGAACTTTTGCACATATCTCAGTACATCCAGGCTGCATGTGTGCGTGTGTGTGCATCTATGTTATGTAGGAGGACACCTACCAAGACATAGTGGCACAGGGTAGTTCCATCTTCTAACAGGTCCAGGCATGCAGGTGATATGGGCATTGCCCTAGAAATGCAAAAGCAACCACAATCTATTACTTTATCATTTAACAGTTGGGACATTTCCACAGATAATAAATAATTGGGTTTAGAAGTGTTTTTTATCGATTCTCCTATTATCCGTATTAACAGTAATAATGCAGAACTGTATATCAAGCGTGAGGAAGGCAAACCTCCATTATAGCCCAATACAGTAAGCTGGGCAGACCACACCAGAGGCATACATTATTCAGGAGTTGTGCAAACCACACCAGAGCTGTATGTTTAGTAAGAGCTGGGAAAACCGCCCGAGAGCGGGGTTTCCTTCTGATTCACAGTTTAAATCGTTCTTGGTTTGTTCACCCAGGGGATGAAAAGAGTGAATGGCGGCACTTCAGAAAAGCTGAGCAGCCTTTGATGATTTCACATACACATCTGGCTTTTGTTTTGCATTAAACAACTTCAACATGTAGCGCGTGTGTGTTCTCCGTGTTTCTGAAATGGCTCTCCTCCAATTGCGTATGAATCTGTGCAGAAAGACAAAGAGGTTGTATCTTTTACCTGAAGAGAGTATCCTTGTTCACATGAAAACTGGACTACGTCTCCCACCATAAATCTGTCTCCTTGTCTTATTCCATAGTTTGGCGTCTGAGGCTCGGGACATGACTCCAGACCAATAGCTGATAAGAAATGTGATAGAAACATGGGTCTAAAATGTATATACATATATATATATATATACATACTATATAGCATATGCCACAGATAAAGATGTATACAAAACAAATATGTTACCTGTATATTCCAGGTGAAAACCAGCAGCTGAGACACTAATATCAGAGCTGAAGCTGAGATGGAGGTTGTTAGATGTACTATTCAAGAGAGGGGGGATGGTCGTGCCTAAAAGAAAGGAGAGAGGAAGAGAGCAACAGAGGACCATGATCACATATTTTTCCATTTTCCAACTGAGGCTTGAAAGCAAAAGGATCTTAGTTATCTGACAGCAAAGGAAACAACAAAGGCCTCCCAAACCTACATTTTCACTTTTTTTGTTTTGTTTGTGAAGTGTTCTCGAAGGAGGGAGAAGGGAAATGACTTTTATATGAGACATCTGTTTTACTTGAAACCACTTTTCAAATGTTGGCTTGACCTACTTAGCGTGGCAAGGGGAAGTACAAAGTAAAAAACAGGTACTGCACTACTGAAGCAAAGCTGGCACCGTGCAACAGTGTGATTCTGTCAGGGTCCTGGATGATGCACTTTAATGTAAAGGAATAGTAACGTATAATCTCTTATTAAATGTCATTGTCTTGCTTGAAGATGCAGCCATGGTAAAAGTGTCTTCTGATAATAACCACCTGTGGAGTTTTAATGTTTGCTCAAGAGGCCACAGTGAGCTTCTTCTGACTTGCATGTTGTGCTTTGCTCGGCGGCAGGTGTGTCAGCAGACTTATCAAAGTTAAAGAGACATTTCTCTGAATGAACAGTGAATTAGGCCAATGGATGTTATTGGTTGCCTGTTGTGAGAGGAATTAATTAGCAGATCTTTGAACACTGTGTGGCCCCCCTGCTGGTCGTGATCATTTTCCAGAGAAAATCATAGTCATTACCATAATGGAAAATAAAACTAAATATTGTGACTCAATAATAAATGATGATGAATAATTAACTGAGTGAATTTAACCATTACAGTTATTTTGGGGATATACGACAATATTAATTAGCAGTTGTATCGCCCTGCATGTATTTACTCATTATGACTTTATATATGGAAATACAGTCCTTTCATTTCATTGCCAACAATATAATATTGTATCCAGTTTGCTATACAGATGTCAGGCCTTTCCATAGATTATTTTACGCGAGTAGCAGATAATCACACTCGGCTTCCCCTAAAAGCAGTATTAGTATCCCCAGGAGAGGCTGAGTCCCCCTTCGGACGGCTGCTTGAATTACACGGGTGAATAAATCCAGAGGAACGGAAGACATTTTTTGGTTGAATATGAGTTGCTAGAGCACAGGGACTTCCACTGTATATTTGGACCGGACACACTTTATTGTTATTTTTCGATAGGAAAAGATGAGGAGATAATTGTAGTGTTCATCTGCATGCATGAGTGAAATATACAACACAAATTTTTACATAAGACAAAAAAAAATGTACTTTCAATTACGGATAATAATCTGTATACGATTGTTTCATTGTTGGAAATCAGTGAATATCAAACGCACCATAATCACCATGAGTTGCCTGCTCTTCTTATTAAAGTTAATCTAAAGGTGTGGCCAATGACACTGTGCAGTACATTTTGGGAGATTTAAGAAATGTGAATAATGTTATTATTTTTGGTGTTCGACACCTCATGTCATAGTTGCTCAGGGAATAATCTATTTCAGTAGAGAATTAGAGTGTAAGAGGATCAATTAGCTATGCGACAAACAAATTCTCATATGTCTTGCAAGGAATCGGAGATAAACAAGCAGGTGTGGATGTGTTCTTCTGCTCCCGCTGGGAGACTCAGAATGGGACCAGCTTAGCTCGAATTGCACTCTTAGCAGGGGGCCACATGGCCAGCATCCTTATATTCCTCAAAAAACATCATGACAACATGCACTTTTCTTCTTTGAATGTTGTCATGATGTATATACCTGTCAAGCTACATTTACTGTGATCAGGACACAGACAACAGAGTTTTTCTTCTTCCCTACATTTTGTTATGTAGAGTATGAATGCTTTTAAAAAGATTGTTGCTTCAAAAAAATCTATTTCTCCCTACATACTCAAATTTGTGAGAGGCCTGTCTTGACGAATGATGTTGAATGTTGTTCAGCAGTTTCTTCTCGGTTACTCAGTTAATAATATAATAGTCCCCTACTAGTCATTTTTCCATATTGCTTTTTGGCAAGAGTGGCCATGAAACAGTATGTGTAACCTCCTGAGTAACACTATCAAAACAATACAGAAAAGCTGTTTACCAGAGTAGCTGCCCAGTCTCGGTGCGTGGTTGTCAGCACCATCGTAAAAATCCAAAGAGTCCCAGTTATGCTCAGTGGCAAAACTCACAACTTGTATCTGGAGAGACGGATAGAGAGGTAGAGAGAGAGAGACAGCATTTGTAATAAACAAAATCATCTAAAAATGTATTTCAACTGCATCTGATACAACGGTCAATTTCCTTTTAGGAACAAATTTCAAAAAGCAAGTAAAACACATGATGTTTGTCAATCTGTCAAGCAACATAAACGGAGATGTGAGACAAGGCTTTACTTGTAATGCTGTGAGGTGTCTGTCAAATATGTGTGACTGACTCCATTTTCTGTCAGAGGCATCTTTGCCTTTGTATTTGTCCGTGAGAGCAGTTTAGCTTACACGCATTCAGGCATTATCTCTCACGATTAGATCCTATCTAGGTAGCTCAGGATGGTCCCTCTCTCACAAACTATCCATCCATTCATCCTTCCAATAATATCTTATCTCCCTTAACGTCCTGCCTGCTCAGCTTTTAAGCCAATGATACATAGGTCAGCCAGAAAGCAGCGTGTGACAGGTGCTACCTGTATTCCAGCCCCCTCTGGAACGGAGACCTTCCACACGCAGTTCTGGTTGTTGTCGTAGGGCTCTGGATATCCAGGCGATAGGATGGTCCCACGTCGAGAGGTCAACGCACCCCCACAGGGAACTGGGAGAGAACAGAAAGGAGAGGCAGAGGTGAAAACAACACTTTATCTGCAAGTAAGAAAAAAGTCTGCTGTACCATCTCTTCCTCTGCAGAGGAGGAGAGCAAAGGGCCCGAGGCCTGGGTGACAGCTTTGGCATAGTTCGGGTTATGATCTGGCCACATTGAAAGGTTATCTGCATTTGAAGTGTCTGTAATTCTTTTAAAAGCGGGAGTCCATTGTACGGCTGGTAATGCATCTTACAACATTCCTGTCTTTCCTGACCATTTCTTTGGATTCATATTTACCTATGCATGTAGGCAGGGTGTCATTCCATTTTGCCAGGTTGTCAGGGACACTCTCACACCGTATGGCAGTGGAGCCATGCAGGACATAACCAGGGTTGCACTCGAACTGGACCAACGAGCCAACTGCAAAGTCGTTACCCAGCCGCTTCCCAAAGCGCGGCTCAGGGACTGAACTGCACTGGGTCGAGCTGGTCCTCGGTACAGCTGCAGAAATAATGGAGCGTTTATAAAAGAAAAAAAACATCGGTAGAAATGCCAAATGTTTTGGCCATGACATCCCTGAAAAAGATATTTTAAATCTCAGTGTGCCTTTTCTTGTTAAATAATATATATATATATATATATACACAGTATAT